AGCTCCTTGACTTCAGACATTTTAAAACTTTTATTATTTTTTCCAACATGTGATTTTAATTGTGCCCATATTAATTCTATCGGATTTAATTCACAATGATACGGCGGAAGGCGCAAAACAATTACATTTTTATGAGCGGCCATTTCATCGATAACTTTTTTATTATAATTGTCTTTATTAAATTTCAATAACAGTTCCGCTTTTAATTCTGAATCTGTAAAATTAATATTTTTGTTTTGTAGCCACGCTTGTATATCTGCCTTCCGCCAATTCATGTTGGGCACTCGGTCTGCAAGTCTGGAGTGGTACGGCGCATTGTCTAGTACTATTACCGACCCTTGTTCCACTTTGTCCAAAACGTTTCTAAACCTGTGATTATATAAACGTGATTTTATTTTTGGTCAAAATATAAATGTACTTGTCTAGATGATGAAAGCCCAGGCCCTGAGGCCCAATATTGTATAATAGGGGATCGGACAAATTTTCAGAAAGTGTTTTAAATTAATCTTCATGGATACTTATTCCCATAAAAAATAAAATTTTATTTACTTATAGCCTTTTAGGTAATCAAAATCATGTTTGAATATTGTTTTTTAAAAAATACCGCCAAACCGACACGTTATGTCATTTGACGCACGTGACGTCATTTGTCGAAATAACGGGTGTGTTCCGATATGCACTGCGAGCACTGCACAGTGCTAACGAATTTTTCTACAGTGATAGCACTGTGCAGTGCTCGCAGTGCATATCGGAACACACCCGTTATTTCCACAAATGACGTCACGCACTGTGATTGTTGTTTCAGTACAGACTTAAAATATTGTAAATAACAAAATTTTATTTCTTCATTAAAAATATTTAAATGAATTATATTAAATTATTATTCGATAAATAATCATAAAACACTATATTTATTTTGTCTAAGTATATTTTAGATTTTAATCTGATTTCTGTCCGATCCCCTATTGTCCAAATATTTCTTTAAAAAATAATATTTAATAATATTTAATAATTACCACTTTTCGAAGTTGTGAGCATCCATTTCCCCATGGTATATCGCCGTCACTTTTTTTAGCCTCAAAAATCCACTCTCCACCTTCAAGAAACCCGTCAACGCTTCCAATATGGCTGATTATTAATCTTTTTCCTTTTGGTGGATTTTTGAGGCCTGTTGACAAGCCATTTAAAAATGCTTGCCGACTGCTTGCTATGCTTTGGTCATTCCATACGTAATTTGAAGAATGCCCTGAAAAATAGGCTTTATTAAAGGTTTATGTAGTTTGAACACAATACCTACAATATACAAATATTAAAAGTTACCTTCGTTTAGCCATGTCTCATCTGTATAATATATTTTCCTATTTTCTCTTCTATAGTCTTTAATTTTTAACAAATAGTTACGTCTCCACACCATCAAATCCGGCCTATCTAGTAAAATACTCTTTCTAGAGCGTTTCATATATTTAAAGCCCAATTTTTTCATAATTTTATAAGTTGTAGAGCGAGAGACTGATGGAAGATCATCGTCATCATTAATAGCACTCATAACTTTTTGTATTGTTGGTTGATCATTTTTAAAATAAAAGCTGTGGACTTTTCCTTTTAATAGCTGAAAGTATGAAATCGTCCAAGTTATTTACGATTTCATATTTTGGTTTACATCGATTAGGCGTGGATACTTCTCCTTTGATTTTATAGTCATTCAAAATTCTTGAAATCGTTTTTACAGAAGTTCCCATAACTTCGGCTGTTGTTTTTAAAATGTCCCCCTTACAGGGAAATGTATGTATTTTTTTCATGGGTGACGTGAGAAAAGATGGCGGATCTGGGATCCTTTTTCGCATTCTGGAATGCGAAGGCCCAGCGTTCGATTCGGGTTCACTCATTTTAATAAGTACCTGTCGAAAATTAATAATACAATGATATGTTTCACGTTAATTTTATAACAGTTGTACACATTATATTGATATTTAGCCCTCATTGAAAAATAACTCTCCATTTATAAAATGAAGATTTAATAAAATTTTAAACCTGCTTTCATAAATCTGTAAAATAAAAACGATTGTTACCGTTTTATGCAATTTTTTGTAATAAATAACATTAAAATATTAAACTTACCTCTAAGTGTGTTACATGCACTAAAATCACAATCGTATGCAATATCGGAATCAGTAAAGGGTTGCTAAAAGTCGTCAGTCCAAAGAATAACACCGTCCAAATCGTAAAACAAACACAAATCCAGTAGAAAGCCAGGTCGTTAGAAATCAAACACAAATGAACACCCGTAACGTACGACATGAAACGTGGCAACGAAACGAATGATTCTTTCAGCGATAGGTGGTGGCCGGGATAAACAACTGTCAAAATGTCGCTTGTCTATGTCTGTATTTTAATCTCAGACTAAATTGACACATGCACATGTCAAATAATAATTTTGTTTTATTACGTTTTAAATAAGTACATACACATTATTTCAGGATAACTTATTATAACAAAATATACTTGATTTTATTAACATTAAATTACGATAGTGGCACATGATTATTAAATTGCAAAAAACTTACAGCCCACGTGATGTCAATTTAGTCTCTGAGATTAAAAAACAGACTATATAAGTCTTTTAACAATGATGTAAAGTTTCTTTTTTAATTTTTCGCCATAATATAAACGCTCGCCATAATATAAATTTTCTTTTTCTCCATAATATAAACTCATTTTTAAAACTTAAAACTAAAAAAACAAAATAAGCGGTCGAGAGATCTCCGTCAGGAGCGAAGTCCCTTACTCCATTTTAATAAACAGTGCAATAAGATACGAAATAATAATAATTATAATAACAAATAAATAATAAGTATAAGTTGATTAAATAAATAAATAAAAATAAAATAGCTTTATTACTGAAATAAGTTGACATTTTACATTCCCTTTTCCCTTTTTCTAATATTAATTCTTAGTTTTTGACATTAATTTAGCTTCACAATGAAATTTTTAATTTTGTTAAAATTATTAATAATTTTAAGTTAATTAAAAGCAATTAAAAATTTTCTATATTCTACAAAGACACTACCAATTTTAAAACATAATAAAATTTTTACAAAATGTCGTACTTTGTAATTTAAAGATAATTTTATTTTTAAGTTCAGTTTTCATTCAATTCATTCTAATTAATGTTACATCTCTATGATTCAAAGACAAAGTAGAGTGTCGAAACGTCAAAATGTTGTGTACATATTTTATCTGTTGACGTTGGTTTTGTTAACAATTCAATTTTAGCAAAATTTATGTGTTTAAATCAATAATTAATAGTTCTTATTAGTGTAATTCACAGCGTGTGTGTTTCTGAAATAGTTATAAACGATAAAACCAAATCCAAAATGTGTGATTGTCCGAAAACAAGTGATTTTCGTTCAAGGTAGTATTTGTTTACCATTTAGGACACCTAAGGAAAAATGGACTTTATAACTGACCAGAGTATGAACAATTTTCACAACCTCACTTTATTTTCGTTGTCCGCTTCACGTGAAATGCCCCATAGAGTAATTTTTGTTCGAATATTTTTAAATACCTTACAATTTCTGATTACGAACCCTAGCATTTTACTTGCCTTACTGACAATACTATCTACATGTGGTACAAAAGTAAGTAAAAAAAAAAAATACCATTTTAGCTTACACCAATTATGCAAGCTAGTCAAATCATTCTCCTGTAGTGAATTAACATCATTAGGATTATTGATAGTTTTAAGAAGTTTGAGATCATCTGCAAACATAAATGGCGTGGAGCAAGAGAAGCAATTTGGCAAGTCGTTTATAAAAATATTAAACAGGAGGACCTAAATGCGATCCTTGCGGTACTCCAGAAGTTATGCTGCATTTTATAGATTTGAACCCATTAGCCACGACGTAGAAATGTCTGACAGTTTGGTACGATTTCAGCCAATTCAACATGGAATTAACAACGCCATAAACGGATAGTTTGTAGAATAATACAGAAATAGGTACTAAAGCATTTTTCAAAATTCATCCTATAAGGGGATGAATGTTTGTATGAAACTACTTTTTAAGAGTTTTTTTTTTGTAGTTTTAGCGCGACCGAAGCCGCGGGTTCTGCTAGTAAATTATAATAATTTATAGTTGAATGTTAGTATGTTGTACAGAAAAAACCAATAAAGATAACAAAAAAGAATTGAATTTTATATTCACTTCGCCACAAACCAGTATGAAAAATGTCAAGTAATAGTGTATAAATATTTATGAATTAAAAATTGAAAATTTACATAAATTGTTATGTATATATTATGTCGCATACAATTAAAATTATATGTGTGCATATTTCAATCTTCACTTTTGTGTTATAAATTATAATCTTACTAGCCTATGCCTTATACATGAGTGTTATATTTCATTATAACTTTTTCCAAATTCAGCTCTATAATGTAGGCTTTCAAATAATTTATAAAAAACTGTAACTGATCGCTGTCTGTACTTAGAAAATATTTTATAAAAACTATTATTGAGGGTCTTCATTAATGCAGTAGAACCCGAACCGATGATTTTTAGATTTTTTGTCTATTTGTCTGTGCGTTAGTGCACGCTAATCTCTGAAACTGCTTGACCGATTTGCGTGCGGTTTTCACTAATATATAATAAGGTAAGTTCCACTTAACATTTAGTATTCGTTTCATTTCAAACGGTTCATAAATAAAAATGTTATGTTAATTTAAAGAATCACCTATAAAATAATCACATATTATGTATTTAATATTTCAATACTAATATTTTGAAGAATGAAGCATATTTGCAAAACACTATATGTCAACAAACTACTTTGTCGCAACTTCGACTACCATGAGAAACCGAAAAAAATGCCTCATACCCGAGAACCTCCAAAAGTAACTCAGTAGGCATCTACTATATAACTATACATTTTCTTTTATATCACAGACAGACATTTCAATTGTATGTACTATACTTAAGTTTAGATTTACTACACTAACTCACCTTAGCATCTATAACAACTTGAACTTTGTCAACAGGCCCATACTTTGAGAAGATATGATGAATTTGCTGTTCAGTTGTGTACAGACTGAGACCAAACACACCAAGGCATCGCGACGGCGTCGGATTTTCCTGTTGACAACAGTGCAATATACAATTTTGTTGATACTCCGCGACGTTAAAGACAGGAAGTTAATACAAAAATACCAAAAATAATTATTAATTATCATAATTACAGGAAGTTTACCATTAACTATTAAGCTACATGCAGTTTAGGTTTTAGATAACCTTGAAATGAGCTATTTGAAATTCAAAATCAAAAATTTACAAAACTAAAAATAACCACAACTTAAATTATAAGGTACTTCAAAATATGTACAATTATATTGCCTTGTATACTAAAAATACTTCTAAAAAAACATTAATCAACCAAATCAACATAATAACCATAATGAAGAGTATACAAAAATACAATTATACACACGAAGAAGCAAAGTCTAGCCTAGATAATATAAAAAAAGGGTGTGTACCAAAAGTCTCACCCGATCACCAAGGTGCCGTCTACGGGACGACATAGGACTGTGGCTGTGGCTCCTGCGGTACGAGCCACGTGGGGAGTACGATCGGGAACGGCTACGAGAGTACCGCCCTCCCCGGTACCCCCGACGTGCCGACCCTGATCGCGATCGAGACCTGGAGGAGGACCTAGTATCAGCCAGTAAAATTATTTTAGCATGCACATAATTATGTTTAAAATATATACTTTAATGTGTTCATGATGTCTTCTTGTTGGTCTTTGATGCTGTCTATACTAATTGGTTTTTGATGATTCAGTCTAACCACTAATTCTATGTTTGAAATAGTCACTTAAATCTAGATAACATAAGTTTGTCATCCTGTGTTATCATGAGTTGTCTATTTACAAAAACAGAAAGTAATAATATCATTTATAGATTATACTAATATTATATTATTATAAAAACGCAATGTTTGTTTACACGCATTAATCTCATAAACTACTAATCAGATTTGAAAAATTCTTTTCGCATTAGATAGCCCGTTTATTGAGGAAAGCTACAGGCTATATATCATATAATATATAGTCTATCTATTCCATACTAACCATTAAAACATACCTAGTGACGAACCCAAGTGAAGCAAGGGCAAGTCACTCGTTTATTAAAAATTAAAAAACAATATTTTATAGTGACTTATCCTTTTTTTTAACAAAAAGAGTAAAAATTAAATGTTTTAGGTTAACATTAATTCATATACAAGAGACAAGAAATATAACAGATTTTTGAATAATTATTTCATTGAATAAGTCTAAGTCACCCATAAATTCAAGTATTACATTGCATTTTTACTCTTATTATATTTCATCATTTAAGAACAGAACTAGAAATATTCTAGGTTTCCATTTGGTTTAAGTTATACATCAATAATCAGTATATAATATATCCATCATTTGATGATGGTACTAAATCAGAAACCTTTCAGTATACTCATGAAAAGCTTTATTGTCATTGCATAAATAGGAGATACGCATAAATAAACCAAACTTATTTTTTATAACAGATTATTCTACTTTATATTTGACATCAATAAATTACACAAAAGTCAGCTTCTAATGAATATTATTAGATAAACTGATTAGCCCACTCGATACCAAATACATAGTATTTAATTACTAATGATTAATCTATATTATTTTGTACTTCATGAATTAGCTAAATTGTACATATAAATAATTTATCAAATTAGTATATAAAATTATTTTAAAATAATGTATTAATACTAGACACATAATTTGTACAACTATTTTAAAACTGCACAACTTTTAAAGTAACTGTTTATTGATAAATTCGTTTCCATAGAGTATGTTTTCAAATATTGACAAAACATTCATTTGTTTATGAATTATGATTCTTATTGATCACACAACTCATTCCTCAAATCCTCACACACTACTATACTGTCAACTGTTTTATCAAACTTGTGTTACATTAGTTACATTAATATAATATACAATTATTCTTCAACCAATATTCTAAACAATATAGTAAAAAAAATATATAAATACCAATTATCTAAAATAATGCTTACATACAATTACTCTGACTCATAGCTACAATAAATATGAAGTAGGTATATTACATAAAATGTAGTTTTTTTAATATGTATTTTTTAACTACAAACAATTTGCAAAAAGGCACTTACAACCCAAACTTAATTGAATCGAAATTGTACGTATAAGAATAATAGGTATTTGATTTATAACTTTTATTGCGCAATGTTCGTCGCCTTGACAGCGAGGTTATATGACCATATCAACAAATTCACGAAATTATATCATTGAAATGATAATATATGCAGATTTTTAAGGTCATCTGTTACAATGTATTTAAAAATAAGGAATTTTACTTACGGGCTTCTATACTTTCTGCTGGAAGCTTTTGGCGGGGGCGGCGTGCGTGACCGGCTTCGGCTATGGCCGCGAGACATGGTAGGAGGCTTTGGTGCTGGCTCCCGAGATCCGTTCCGGGTCCTCGAGCGGCTCCTCTGAAACCACCCAGCAATTTATCGTCAGTTACCTTTTAAGCCCGGCAAAAATACAATATGCAAGATAGAACGCGCAAAGCGCGAAAGCAAACTGCGTGGTTAATTTTAGTACCTCACGATCGGACATGATGAATAATTAAAATAAACAATAAAAGTATAGCGATTAACACACAAACAATCTAAGAATAAACCGAGATTCCCCAAATATATTTAACACGAGCACACCACAACGCGGTCGCGATGAAAAACAAAATGGCGTCGGTTAATATTCGTGATGCATGACGTGATGAGATAGGCGCTAAGCGACTAGGCGCCAAAAATTAAAAATATAACAATGACGAATAATAAAATTACAAGTTGCCAGCACGAGTTTGCTAACAGATTGATTTTATTGTTATTCTTTTAAAATAAAAAATAACGTAAATTAGAAACTAAGTAATAACTTATTTATAAAACAGTTTTTTATTGCAATTTATTGTAATATAATTTATGTGATCTTAAAAGTAAATAAATAACAATTTAATTGATTAACTAATATTTCGAAATACATTGCTCATTGTTTATTGTACATAAAACTATATCATAATAAGAGATACATTTACTTTATATTATACATTTGAATGATTTATTGGAAATATATGAAATAATAATCATTACATAATATATAGAGATAAAAATAAAGTATTGGTTATGCGGAGGAAGAAAAAACTTTTTCCAACAGTCGCAAATCGCAATTACTACCAACATGTCATAATATCCCTGTTTTCCAATTAGAGCACTAAAGCGCACTATGCGGCATAATGCTAACTTCAAATGTTTCAACTACAGTAATGTTCCGCACAATCGAGCGTTTTGAAAAGTACTGCTTTGGCGTGATGCGCGCAAGGATATCAACTAAATATAAGAAGTTTATTTTCTTTAAGGTGGCATTGATCGACATTTTATTTACATTGTCGTTAATAATATTTGTTTATATTTTAAAACAATATTATATAATAATATCATGTATGTATGTATTCAGCCCTTTTTAACGTCCCATTGCTGGGCAAGGGCCTCCCTTTAATACGAGGGGGATCAGTAATCCACTACGCTACATGTCTTTCGAAAACTTACTAGATTTTCTCAGACATGCAGGTTTCCTCACGATGTTTTCCTTAACCGTAAGGCAAGTGGTAATCATGTTAGAAATGATTCGCACATGAAAATATCAGATGTGAGACCCGAGATTTGAATCCACTTCACTCGATTTCCAAAGCGAGCGCGTTACCACTGGTCTACCACTGCCTTATTATAATGTATTATTATATATTTATTAGTTAGGTAAATTTTAACACTGAACCTAGTGCCCTCTGCTGGTGCACTTAAAAACTAATCCACGTTCCAATTATGCATTAGCACACTTCGGCATCCTGCGCCAAAGTGTGGCATTATGTTCTATAATTGGAAAACAGGGTATGATACTAATTACTACTCATTATTATCTCCCGACTCCATGCCCATTTCCCAATTACTTGGGGTCGGAGCAGTATATCTTCCGTACTTCTGATGTGATTTGGCAAAAATTTTACCACCAGCCGCCTGCCTGACATCAACCCTTCTACGGAGTTGGGAATGCTATTGTTTGTCGCGGAAAGGACCAAGGTGCATTTAGGTATATAAAAATTATTATCTTTATGTCAGTAATTTTTTTCATTTTGTTCATTTTTTTTCTAAATTACCAACATGTTAGTACTGTTTTGTGGAAAAAATACTCAGGGCCTTGCGTATTTATTATTGTAAGCTCTCAGGAAAGGGACAGGTAATGGCTGCACAAGTGTACAGTCGCTTTGACTTATTACTATAGTGACTACTTTGAAGTTTGAGGCTTACGCTCTGACCATTAAAAAGCTCCGGAAATTTTGGGAAATTTGGGAAATACTGTATTAAATGAAAAGATCACAAATAAATAAATTTTAATTCGCAATAGTAGGATATAAATAAAATAAAAATAATATTACCATTTAAATGGCAATTTCTTTTACAAAAAGGAAAATATTTTTTTGTGTATTTTAAAGTTTAATCTTTAAAGTTAATTTATTTCTAAACGATATACAAATCTTTCAATGTCAAAGTAGCATGTCAAATCTAATGTCATTGAAATTCCACATCGTACGGTTGTGAATGTGATCATCGTGTGAATATTTTAAAATTATTCGTCACTTAAAAGATGACTGATACTGAAAATCAGAATGGACCCCCTGAGGATCAACCGCAAGAAAAGACTGCGAAGCAGCTAGAGAAAGAAGCAAAAAAGGCTGCGAAATTGGAAAAACTTAAAGCTAAATTGGACAAAAAGAGCTCTGCGCCAGCTTTGCAGAAAGATAAGCCAGAGGTTATTTATTAAATTTATTGTTACCTGCCAAATGTATAAAGGTTATCAATAACTTATACTTATTAACGACTTTTTAACTTAATTATGATATGGCTACATTAAGACTTTCCTTTATATTAGATGTTATAATACACTAGCTTGTTTAGTGAAAGCACTCTTGGCTATTTTTTATATTGCATCACTTAATATACTTAGTAAAACGTTTATGTTCAAAAGGATTAAAAATTATAAACTTAGATTGATTAGAATTATAGTATTATATATGTTTAATTTTCATTCAACATACAATAAATCCAATTAAATATTTTTTTTAAGTTCAATTCAATTCTTTTCTTAAAGTTTTATCTTTACAAGCAGCGGTTTTCAATGAAAGTAAATAGTAACACTTTAGCACTGTCTTATTGTTATAAACATTTTATTTTTTCAGAAAAAGACTAAAGAAACTAAAGAAACCATCTTATATACCAGTAACATTCCACCTGGAGACAAAAAAGATATTTCAGGTTCTATGCCTGATGCATACAGTCCACTGTATGTTGAAGCAGCTTGGTATGCCTGGTGGGAAAAGCAGGGCTTTTTTAAGCCTGAATATGGAGTAAGAATAATTATTTCTTTTAAACATTCAATGAATATCGTGAATATCCATTCAATTATAGTAATGTACTCATTTGAAAAAAAAAATATCATTAGTGATATACACAAATATCAGCAGACTAGTTTTTTTTTTAATTTTGCTACTCTTTCTAGTTAAATCTGTGTTTACTCGGTTTTTCTTGTTAATGGTTTCAAAACATACCCGATGAGCATAGATTGCTTAGCCAATGTCATGAAGACTATACTCTTTGTTAAGTCTCGTCATTAATGTTATTAATATGTACTCTGTCAAATGTAAGCTCATTTGTTTCGAAAAAAAAAACAAACCTATTCCATTTCTATGTGTTATTCCAGACTATAATCTATTTCTGTGCCAAATTTCATCCAGATCCTTTCTGCCGTTTTGGCATGAAAGAGTAACAAACATCCATACTCACAAACTTTAACATTTATAATATTAATATGAATTAAATAACAAATGACAGGCAATAATTGATATATTTTACTTATAATTTAATAGTACACTTACATTTGTATAATAAATGTTTTCAGAGAAAATCAGTATTAGAACCAAATCCTAAGGGCAAGTTTGTGATGGTTATCCCACCACCAAATGTGACTGGTACCTTACATCTTGGACATGCTCTCACAAATGCTGTTGAAGATGCTATTACTAGATGGCACAGGTATATAAATTTTTATCAATCAAATCAAATTATAACCTGTTTTCCCATGGAAAAGAGGTAATCCCCCACAGTAAAAAGTAGCCTATGTCACTCTCCAGCCCTCCAATTATCTCCACACAAAAAACACGCCAATCTGTTTCGACGTGAAAGAAAGACAAATAAACAAACAAACACACTTTTACATTTATAATATTAGTATGGATTTATTAATCTATATAGATAAACTAGCTGACCCGACAGACGTTGTCCTGTCTACACGTCTTTAATTTGAAAATTTCAAACTTTTTTTAATAATTTTTTTGATGAAAATTATTATTCAAATTGTGAATCTAAACCATTCCCAGATCCCCTTGAACACACACAAAAAATTTCATCAAAATCGGTCCAGTCGTTTGAGAGAAGTTCAGTGACATACACACTCACAGAAGAATTATATATATAAAGATATAGCTGAAGTGTTTTTTAGTAATGTCAAAATAACAGTTTTTTACTAAATGCCTGTGAAAGTATACTTTTTACTAAATGTATGTATGGTACAAATAAGAAAAAAACAATTTTTATTTTTTTTATATGTTCCGGCTAATCTCCGAAACGGCTTGACCGATTTTGACGGGATTTTCATTGGCAGTTAGCTGATTTTATAAGGAGTAACTTAGGTTACTTTTATTTTGGAAAACAATCATATTTCCGCACAAAAAAATCAACCATGAAATTGTGAAAAAAATCCGCGCACCTAGAAATGCACCCGAGCGAAGCGAGGGTAAATCGCCAGTAAAAGATAATTTTTATACATAATTTACTTCCCAACATATCTCGATGGTTGGTTACTATTTTCTGAATACTATTTTATTCTAAAAAAGTTAAGTGAACAAAAAATGTACAGAATGAATGGACGAACAACACTCTGGAATCCAGGCTGTGACCATGCCGGTATCGCTACTCAAGTGGTAGTAGAAAAGAAGCTGTGGAGAGAAGAGAAGAAAACTAGACATGAACTCGGTAGAGAAGAATTCATTAAGAGAGTGTGGGAGTGGAAAAATGAGTAAGTAATATGTGATTTAGTTGAAGTAGAAGCACAGATTAACTGATAGTTCTTTACGGTTGAAGTGAGAGTCGAATTCGCACACAAAGGGTTCCATACCATCATACATGTACTTTTTATTAATATGATTTTTATTCTATGTATGTAGTATATTAATTTAGATGATCTATTACGAACGTTAAATTTATTTTTCTTGTATTTTTATTTGTTCTTATAGCGGCAATAGAAATACATACTCTGTGAAAATTTCATCTCCCTACCCATTACGGTTCATGATATACAGCCCTCTGACAGGCGGACGGACGGACAGTGGAGGCTTAGTAATAGGGTTCTATTGGTACCCTACGGATACGGAAGCCTAAAAACTAATAAGCAATATGTTTATTACATTAAAGTACTTAATTTAAATATAGGATTTGCTATAAATGTGTGTATTCAGCCTTTTTTAACTTCCCACTGCTGGGCACGGGCCTCCCGTCAATACGAAGGGGATCAGGCCATAGTCCACCACGCTGCTCAAGTGTGGCTTGGCAGCCTTCACATGTAAGACAAGTGGTGATCATCTTGCAAATGATTAGCACATAAAAATATGAGAACTGCAGAACCCGGGATTTGAACCTGCTTTACTCGGTTTCCCAAGTGAGCGCGTTACCACTGGATCACAATTACCGTTTACCTACTAATATAATTTAGAAAAGTAATATAATTATTACGATCAAAATAAAAAAAAGTGTTTTATGTTTATATTTATTTTTAGAAAAGGAGGAAGAATTTACGAACAACTTCGCTCATTAGGGTCTTCTTTAGATTGGTCGCGTGTTCGTTTCACAATGGATCCCAGCATGTGTAGAGCTGTGAATGAAGCCTTCATAAGACTACATGATGCGGGAGATATATACAGGGCGAATAGATTGGTGAATTGGTCCTGCGCTTTGAAAAGTGCTATCTCCGATATAGAAGTAGATAAAGTAGAACTGCCCGGAAGGACTATGTTGTCTATACCTGGATATGATAGCAAGGTATGTATAGATTTAATAATTTTTACAAATGTAGTTGAGTACATTAGAATAAAAATAGTTATGTATTATATTTTGAATTGATTATAATAATACTAGGGCGTTTCTACTACTATCTCCAGCAACAAACATAATCCCTCACAATGTATTAGAAGTTTAGTCAAGTTTCTATTATTACCTATTTTTATTGCAGAATTGTGCATAATCTCACTTAAAGTTAATATTTTTCTTTATAAAATGTACTTATTATATGGTAGTTAAATGTTGGGAAACTTTTATATGAAGTTATTGGATGTACATCAAAAAGTTTTTATTTCTTCACAGGTGGAGTTTGGAGTGCTAGTGCTCTTTGCATACAGAGCTGAGGACTCTGACGAAGAGATAGTGGTAGCCACCACCCGAGTGGAGACCATGTTGGGTGATGTCGCAGTGGCTGTGCACCCTAACGACACTAGGTAACTATTAAATGCTTCAGTCTAGTGGCTAGCATATACGGCTGCAGATGATGAGGTCCTGGGTTCGAATCCCGGGTTCGATCCGACTCCCGAGTCGGACCAAGATTGGTTACTGAGATTTTCTGTTTAGATATCCTCAGTAAAAGCCCAAAGTTGGGAAGTTGGCGGTGTTGCACCCCTGTACCGAGGCAAAGCACGTGTCGCGTCTGTCCTGCGCCTTAATACTCACCGGTCGTGCTCGTGTCGTATGAGAGTGACAGGAATAGAGTGTCCTTGTACTATAATAATCTCATGCGCAGATGGCTAGTCTCAGTGAGATTGACCGCCGTGGCTGGAATCGATTACTAGGACCTTATTTATTGTTAGGATGATTTCTTTAAATGGATGTGGGTAATGAAATCCTATGAATGGGCAGATATTGATTTGTGTTGTAAAAGTATTTAAATAAAGTAAGTTTTGAGTTAAAACCAAAGTGTAAGGAATAGTGAATAGTGCTTAAAGAAGATTCATATATACCACCCATATTGATAAATACTAAAAATGCATAATTGGTTTATGAAACGTTTTCTTGGTTGATTATAGAATCCATTTCTTTTTAAATGAACACCATGTGAATAATAATTTCTTAGATATTTGACATTTTATATAAAAATATCTTTTTGAATGTTTTCACAGATTTATTTCGATTTTTGATTCGATTGTCAAAATGACCAAAAATTTGAAAAGATAGTTTTATTTAAAATCATAAGTTTAACCTATTACTATTTAATTTTTAATATACATTTTATTTATTGCTTTTTAGATACAAACATCTAATTGGAAGGAATTTACTCCATCCATTCGTCAAAAGGAAGCTCCCTGTGATCGCGGACGAGTACGTCGATATGAACTTTGGAACAGGTACATTTTAAGTAAAACTATATAAATGTCGGAAACCAAAAATTAAAACAAAGCCGCGAAATAAATCTAAGAAAGTATTATAATTACTACTATATTATTTTTCCCTTAAAAAACTCCAAAGTGTTTTTTTATGGAATTTTAGATGAACTCAAATATTATAAAAAAACTAAGTTTGGAAAAAGAAGACCCTATGTCTTTTGGATTATAAATAATAATAATAAATATGTTGGGAAATTAACACACAACACCATCTAGTTCCATGGTAAGCTACGAGGCTTGTGTTATGGATACCAGATAGTTGATACACTACACATATATAACTTTAAATACATACATGTTATAAATATAAACACCCATGACTGGAGTACAAACATTCATGCTCATCACACTAACGAATGCCCCCAGCGGGACTCGAACCCGCAACCACTGGCACAGCAAGTAGCGTCACTACAAACTGAGCCAAACATATCGTCAAATTAGACAGTTTTTTTTAATTTGTTATATTTCAAGGGTCCCTTAAGAGTAATTAATTAATTTTAAAGTATTTTTAGTTGCCTTTTCAGTAAAAAGTGACAATTTATAAATTAAATGTAGCTTTGTATTTATTAAGGCGCTGTCAAGATCACTCCAGCGCACGACCCCAACGACTACGAGATCGGCAAGCGACACAATCTGCCCTTCATCACGATATTCGATGACGAGGGCAGAATGCTGAATAATTGTGGAGGATTCGCTGTAAGTTATAGTTTTAAATTGGGAATAAAATAAGATTTTTAAATATTTTATACAACCTCGTTTTTGTGTGTTAAGAATTGAAGGGGTTTGAATATTCTTCTATGGAAGCTGTCATTAGCAATCTACCACCATTTTTATTTTTTGATAGCGGAGTATGATGTAATTAGTATTAATATTAGTCCCGCTGAGTTTCTTTCGCCAGTTGTTCTCAGGTCTGAGGCTTCTTCCTTCTGAACTGATAGTAGACTCATGACGTTCAGTAAAAAATTGTAATAATTTAATGCTGAATAAAATATTTTGAATTTGAATTTAGATGGGTAGAGGATGTATATAAACAGAAAATATTACCAATATAGTGCCGTAATAGTCTTAAGACTAGACTCAGTGGCTACGGCTGACTGAGCTGGCAACCTTTTTTTACTACATGATTATGTATATACAATACATTTACAAGTATATGTATATAACAAAGCTTACCAATAAACTCTTCTTTTGAAATATGTTGATAATATGTTTCCCACATATTCCAAAGGGTAAGAAACGTTTCGACGTGCGTCGCGAGATCATCAAGACTCTGGAACACATAAAGCTGTACAAGGAGACGAAGGAGCACGCCATGGTGGTGCCGCTCTGCAGCCGCTCCAAGGACGTGGTCGAGCCCATGCTTAAACCACAATGGTAAAACTTTTCCCTATTTTTGTTCAATAATAATTTATTATGTCATTTTGTTCATTGTCCATTTTTTTAATATTTTAATTATGGACGTAATAATAACAGATGAACATAAGAATGTCCATCTGTTTCAAAAATAACAATAAATAAATAGGAATAATATACGAACCAACCATACAACCGAATTGAGGATCTCCTTTTTGAAAGTCGGTTGGTAATATACGAAAAAGAAATAAAGTAAAAAGAGAAAAATAATAGATAATATGCGTGATTTTTTTTAATATTTTATGCAATAGCTAACATCGTTTTATAATCGTAAAAAATATCCAACTCCAAAAAAAATAAATTTAGTACATTTTTAAATAAAACTATCTTTTCGGATTATTTCGCGGGTTTATTTTGATTTTTGGTTTCCGACGCTTCGAATGCTTTACAGCATCCATGGTCACGGGAGAGACTGAGGTGTTACATGTCTTGAAGGTATAGTTGTTACAGACAGCCTACCCACAATTAACAAGATTAAAAATTGCACCAATTACATTACAATATTTTTTAACTTTAAACATTTTTATAATTTTAATTATAATTGAATATGGAATATTATTTATTTAATTTTTGCTATTATTCTTATAATTATTACAATTTTAAAAATATTAATTAGTAATCTATATTTAGTGCTGCCATTATTATATTTATAACCATAAAGAAAAATATAAAATATAGTATTAACTATTTAAGCCATATAATTGTTCTATGTGTAATTTAAAAAGTTAAAATTAATTAAGGATAATAATTTTAATTAAACACAATTGTTGACAGTTTTAAAAGAACTTTTGAATGGGATTGTGTATTTAGTACTTTTTTGGTCAAGGCTAGTATTAAAGTCAGCTAATATGTCACTCCGCCAGGTACATCCGCTGCGACACGATGGCAGCGGAAGCCATCAAGGCCGTGAGGACCGGCGAGCTGAAGGTCATCCCCGACGTGCACGAGAAGGTCTGGTACCACTGGATGGAGGGCATTCGCGACTGGTGCATCTCCCGCCAGCTGTGGTGGGGGCACCGCATCCCCGCATACAGGGTCGCCCTGCCGCCTTCCGAGGTGAGCCTTGGCCCTTGATGTTCCTTATACTAGGTTTAGTATATAATACTATAATGATGATATATATGATAGCTATGATGTTGAGTGAAAATTAAAATTACTGTGTTTTATTCAACTAGTAGACTTTCATAAGCTAAATCATTTTGGCATCGTTTTAAAGACCATGGCTCTTTTGTATAATTCGGGTATTTAATATGGTAGAGACAATTCTTTAGAAAGTTGTTTTTGTTGTTTAGTTGTTGATTTAAATTTAAATAAATAGGTATATCAATTATAAACATTTAATTAGTATGTGTTGAAAATGTACATATTTGCTCCAAACTGACTAAAGTGAGCATAATTTTCAACCGACTTCAAAAAGGAGGAGGTTCTCAATTCAACTGTATTTTTTTTTATGTTTGTTACCTCAGAACTCCGTCATTTATTAACCGATTTGGACAATTTTTGTGTTGTTTGAAAGTGTATACTTCCAGATTGGTCCCATTTAAATTTCAAAAAAAAAATACCACTCCTAAGGGTGGAAAAATAGCTAATGATGCATTTAACCTACTTCTAATTGTCATATTGACTTGAAACTTTGCAAGTGTTTCTATTTCCGTTGATAGTACAGTGGTTGGGTATTGTTGACCTGATCTGATGGTAAGGCCAGAAGCGGAACTCTTCAACGGCTAATAGTAGATACTTTGAGTTTGGGCTTATTTTGTTTGATTTGACAAGCCTAACACGTTAGAATTCTTACTTTGCTACTACTGTCTACACTAAAAAGGGAAAAATAAAAACTTTTTAACAAAAAAATAAAAACCGACTTCAAACAAAAGTACTAAAAAGTATTTACTATACATACCTAATCAAAGTCTGTCTGCTTTGGCTAAGTAATTAAAGCCTACCTATTAAATACATATCTAATCAAATATTTTCGAAATCGGTGCCAGCCCATACAAAGCAAAGCACACCGACTTCGAAAATATTTGATTAGGTATGTATAGTAAATGAAAACTACCAATCAGTTATTTTTTACTTTTTAGTGCTTTTGTTTGAAGTCGGTTTTTATTTTTTTGTTAAAAAGTTTTTATTGTTTATGTTGTTAATAAACATCAGTGAGAAATATCTTTAAAATTCAATATATTTAAAATATATAAGGATATTTTCAATTATATAATATAAATGAAGCAACCGTTTCACGCAACAAGGAGCGCGCGAGGCAGCCGCGGCGGCGGCGCTCGCGCAGCGGCCGCAAGAAGAGCGCGCGCCGCCTCAAGCGACACGCTGTACGTAGTGCGTGTGCGCCGCACGCTGTACTGTGGCTGGCAAACGTTTTGATTGTTATTTTATATATTCGTTACAGTTCGCATGCGTATATACATATATAGATCTTTAGGGTTTTAGCTATAGAACATTTTGTTGTATCCATGTATCCATTTTTTTTCTAAATATCAAACGGGTACATATGAGTAGAAGAGACTTAAATAAATTCTAAAGTATCAGCTATAATTCCTTAAAGTTTCACTCTCGTGAGATTTTTGAAGTTAATGGGTGATGTGTGTGCGTATACGCAACGGCTGTCTCAAGCGATACACTGTACGTTGTGTTGCAGACTACTCTGACTGTAGTACTCGGCAAACATTTTGAGAAGTATTACTTATTAACTGCGCATGCGCATATATATGTTGGGACATTAACACACAGCACCATTTATCTAATTCCATGGTTAGCTACGAGGCTTGTGTTATGGATACCAGATAGTTAATACGCTACATATATATAACTTTTAAATACATACATATTATACATATAAACCCCCATGACTGGAGTACAAACATTCGTGCTTATCACACAAATGAATGCCCCCGTCGGAACACGAACCCGCGACCGCTGGCACAGCAAGTAGGGTCACTACAAACTGAGCCAAACGTGTTCATTGATCTATCTGATTCTATTAACTGCCTAATAGTTGGTTTTTAAAAATTTGAAGGCAACAATACAGAAGGCGCTAGGTAATTTCAAGAATTGAAAGGGTCTAAGGAATTTCAGAATCCGCGTGATTTGTTGATTGGCGATATCAAAATATATGTTACTATTAAAATGTTAGCTAGATTAATTCTTTTTTCTAAAAGGATATTTTAAATGGTTTTTAGTATATTTGCTGATCATTATATAATACTTCTTTTCTTCATCATTATTTATACTTCAGTTATTTGAAATCTGATTTCATATAATTTGTTAGCTAACGCGTTGTATCAACTCGTCACTACGTTTTGATCAAAACGTTTGCCGAACTGCATGTGTAGACTGTGAGTTAATTCGCTTTCAAGGCATTTTAATTTAGTTTAGAACTCATTATTACTACCTCATGTCTCTAATTTGTACTCAAATGGCACGCTTTATAATTGAATTGAACTCATTAGTAAATAATGATGATTACGATGTTTAGTATATCATTTAATTTTGCGGAGATCCTTAGTTTTTTTATCTATTTTTATTTAGGGACTTTTTAAGTACAAGGCTATAATGTCATGTTTTCCTGAACAGAATAATTACAATAGCAACTTATAATCTACGAGAGGCAACTATTATGACTAATACTAACTATATTTGAATTTAAACTTGTAAAGCATCTGAGCTGCCGCCGAGGTAGGTGCTTTGAGATATACCTAGATCTATCGATCAAAGAAGTACTAGATACACAATCTCATACAAAAGTTCTCTTAAAACTGTCACCAATTGTTTTAGATAATTATGCTAGTTGAAATAAATATACAACAATGTAAATTGAACCTTAAATGCAATGCTTAAAGTTTTTACAAAAAATATTAAAGTAAAAGCGCGCTCAAATGTTCAAATGAGCGCTCATTCGGCGAGGACATTTTTTGTCGTTGATTGTGTATCTAGTACTTTTTTGAACGATGCCTAGATCTTTAGTTTTAGATCTGAATTTTGTCGCCTATATATTATTAGTCAGAAATATCGGTTAATTAATTTCGTTAAATTTACCTGATACGCGAAAAGAGTAATCGGAGGAATTGTTGTGTTTAAATTTCTCTTACGGAGATTCTTTTCAGCCGATTTACTTGATAAAGAATTTTTTTTTATTGCAAAAACAAGTAATGAATATTTTCTGATCCTTTTAGTTAAGAAAAGTTTGCATTGACAGCTTTTTGTGTAGAATTTTAAGTTTTGTATAGAGTGTTAGTTAATTTAATTTTTATTTTTATTTTTGGTTATAACTATAAATAATATAAGTTGCAAGATGTTTTCTTTCTGTATATAAGTTATTAGTATTAGCATTAGAAGATAGTAATAATATATATGCAACATGTCCAGCCAAGTCGGCTTTCTACATTCGGTATCGTACGTACGCATATTCTTAAATTTACACGAATATTTGACGTTTTAAATAAAACTATATTTTCAAATTTTTTCGTGCATTTATTTTGATTTTTGAGTTCCACGTTTTATATGTTTTACAGCAATCATGGTCACATCTAAAATCCAAAAAGATAAATTTATTCAGAACGATAGTGTAAAATTAAGATTAACATCAAATAATGCACGCTATTTTTACCTGTAAAGACTATAGTATTTCCGTATACGTATGTAGGGAGATAACTAGATATACACATTCCTGTGATGGAAAAGGAATATGGCAATCACTTAATATTTTAACATTTAATATTGCAGTTATTTCACAATTACACACTACATAATAATTTGTTATAACACTATGTACATATATGATAATAACGACTTATAATTTGTTTACTTTTAAGTAGCCTCTTTTTATAACTTTATTGGTTAAAGGCACTACAGTATTTCTAGAAATATAGATATTTTTTTAAAGTAATGATAGCTTCTTATTTCTTAATGTTCGCTATTTGACCTCGATATTATAAAGAATATAGCAAACTGCACATCTCTCATGCAGCATCGTTTCTCTTTTTGCTAATTATATATTCATTTTAGTATCCTATTGTAGATACTTCTAACATAGGATGCTCAAAGGATTTTGCTTATACATCTATAAATTAATATTTGGGAACCACTCAATTATATTATTATCTTCTAGAAAGAAGAAGAACGTTGGGTTTCTGCTCACTCTGAAGAAGAAGCCTTATCAAAGGCTGTCGCTAAATTTGGTGTTTCCAGCGCAGATATTAAGTTGACGCGAGACGAAGATGTACTGGATACTTGGTTCTCATCAGGTCTTTTCCCGTTTTCGGTCTTCGGATGGCCAGACAATACGGATGACTTGCAGGTAAGCTTTATATAGTACCGGTACTAAGCACAGTAAGGCCCGCTCCACAGTATAATGCCGATATTGGATTCTCAGTTCGATATATGTCTGGTAAAGTAAACAATAAAAAGTAAGATTCAAGTTCTGGTACAATCCCACTATAGCAACGTTTTTTATATAAAAATACTTTACCAGACTGATATCGGACCGAGAACGGACTGTGGTCGGCACTATAGTGTGGATCTACCCTAAATGTATGGATAATATTATAAAATGGATGTTTATTTGTCTACTTATGCATTTATTACTAATAAACTGATCAAACATGCAATATATCAGTTGTGTAGTTGATTATCTAAAGACAGACTCAGTGGTGTAGTGACTAGCGTGTACGGCTGCACACTCGGAGGTCCTGGGTTCGAGTCCCGGGTCGGGCCAAGTTTAGTTATTGAGTCTTTCTGTATAGTAGGTCTCAGTAACAGCCCAGAGTTGGGAAGTTGGCGGTGTTTCACCCCCGTGCCTTAGAGAGCACGTAAAGCTGTCGGTCCTGCGCCTTAATCTGGTCGTGTCGAACAGTAGTCCCACCTGAGTATGAGAGTGACAGGAATAGAGAGTGCACTTGTGTCTGCGCGTACACTTGTGCATTATAATATTTTCGCAGTTGGCTAGTCTCAATGAAATTGGCCGCCGTGGCCGGAAACGGTCGAAAGAACATCATCATCATATCTAAAGAGTATGTACACAATTTTATCTTAGCTTATTATGTATATAACTAAAAAATGTTTTATTTTAGTTAATTGAGATGTACAATTTTTAAACTTGGTGTGATAATTGGAATGCACTTATACTTAAGGGTATGAAATAACGACTAAAAGAGAGAGATTTCTCGAGATTAGAAAATACAACATACGTACAGACATTTCCCTGCGACTTCCTTCTATATGTGTAAGAATAAATATTAAAGTACGATTCTTATATCACATATGATATTTTTGTTTCAGGCGTTCTATCCCGGTACTTTATTAGAAACAGGTCATGACATTTTGTTCTTTTGGGTGGCGAGGATGGTGTTCTTCGGGCAGCGTCTTCTTGGGAAATTGCCTTTTAAGTTAGTAGTATTTTTTTTGAGTATATATTTTTATATAAACGTTTCTTTTCGTATAGAGTAATTTTTACTAACTTTCTTATTCTCTTCCTTACAAAATATCTTATCTTACCCGATGATAAATACTGAGAAACATGATTTTTAAATTTTTTTACATATGGTATTGTTTTAAATTTTTGACATTTTTTCATTTATTGGACCATTTTTAGAAACTCAACAGTTGCTCTTTTACAGAGAAATATATCTCCATCCAATGGTGCGAGATGCGCACGGTCGTAAGATGTCCAAGTCTCTCGGTAACGTCATCGACCCCGTGGACGTGGTGAGGGGCATCACTCTGGAACAGCTCCATGCACAGCTGGTTGACTCGAACCTGGACCCTCGCGAGGTGGAGAAGGCCAGGCAAGGCCAGAAACAAGACTACCCTAATGGTATACCGGAATGTGGCACTGATGCGCTCAGGTGAGACTGCTCAAATTTTTTATATTATGAATTACTAGTTCGTGCCCCCGTCTTTGCCTCCTTAAAAATTAAACGTAAGAAAAAAAAACAATATTCAAAAGTACTGCGTAATAATTTGTTGTTGTTGTTGTTGATGATAATGTAAAATTAACTATACTATATGTATGTATAATTCGAAATCAGCCTCCCAGCACCGTACAGTATAGTATTTTTTAATTCCATCGAAATATCTAGCAACACATCCATCAAAGTCTGCTAATATACTCGTATGCTATGTTAACTGTGTATATAATAAAGGAAGGAGTTATTGTCTATCTATAAAAGATTCATTAAATTTAGTAAAAAAAATGTAATAGTTTAAGCTTAATCAACAACCTCCCTGTCCATTTCTCAACTACTTGGGTTCGGCGCAGTATATCTTCCATACTGCTAATCGGTTTTGGCAAGTTTTATGGCCGGCCACCACCTGCCGTACATCAATCTTCTTTGGGAATACTTTAAGTATAAGCTCAATATTTTTTTGATTGAATTGACCAATAGGGAATATGCACAATTTTTTTATTTTTTTATTCAATAGCTTACATCGTTATATAATTATTAAAAAAAATCAGCTCCAAAAAACTAAAATTTAATATATTTTTTTTAAATATCGTAGCGTTACGGATACTTCAAACGCTCGCCATTTCATCTCTCTCTCTCTCTCTCTCTCTCTCGCCATATCATACATAGAAAAAAAACGACTTTATTTTGTAGCAACAAAGTCACTTTCGATCTGATATGATAATACTTTGACGTCATATTCGGTCTGACCAATGGCGTGCGTTTTAATTACTTTGAATTTCCCACCTGTTTTTGCACTTTTTAATAATTATTTTCTTAACCAAAAAGAAATTCATTAAAAAATATTAATATAGGCTTAATTCAAAACCAATAAAAATTATAAAAATTGGTTTTCTGTAAAGTCGGTTTACGGACGATAATTTTACGTGATGACGTCATAAAAAACATTGATGAAAAATTGCATACTTTTAGGAATTGAATTGAATTATTATCACCGAATTATCATTATTTTGTGTAATGCAAAGAAGGAATAAATTGAAAATGACATTTTTTTCGATAAATTAACATTTATTTGTACCTACTCGTTAATTCAAATATAATTTTTTTACTTAAATTTTACAGATTAATTACAAGTAACAGTTTGCTATTAACAATTTAGGCCGATCGTGCCTCTCGCTCGCACGCTTGGCTGGGGCGGAACGTGGCACTTTTTTGTGCGTGCAGCCGGCGTTCATCGATTTATAAGACGCTATCACGTCAAAAAAATATTTCACCTTTATTTAAATCGCACGCATATTCCCTATCGTCAGGTTCGCGCTGTGCGCCATGACGCAGGGTCGCGACCTGAACCTGGACATCCTGCGCGTGCAGGGCTACCGCTTCTTCTGCAACAAGCTGTGGAATGCCGCCAAGTTCGCGCTCATGTACTTCCCCAAGGACACCGTCTACAAGGTAATGTGCACCTTATGCTGTTCGTGTTAGGGTTTGTTGTGGATTGATTGATTTTTTTTATATTACGATTAATTATTTTTTGATTGAATGCTATAAATATGTAATATGTATGTAAGTATGTTACAAATATGAGAACAAGAATAGTTATATTATGTAGTTTCAAGAACTGTTTGTTACTAGCGAGTCACCCTCGCTTCTCTTGGGTTCGCCCCTAAGTCCTTTTTAAAGGTTAGTATGGAACAGATAGAGTATATATTACATTACTGCTGCCTTCCTGAATAAGCGCGCTATCTAATGCAAAAATATTTTTTTAAATCGGATTAGTAGTTCCTCAGAATAGCGGGTTCATACAAACAAACAAACAAACAAACAAACAAACAAACAAACAACACCTGAGATTAGCACGTTCAAACAAATAAACAAATTCTACCTCTTTATAATATGTAGTATAGATCATGCTTCATTTAAGATTTTAATTGTTTTGTTATCATTAAACTAGTAATATAAAAATAACAGTATATATTATTATATCAAACAAAAGCAATTGCATTCAAGAAAACTTTTAGCGTCGTCGTTGTTTTATCTGCCTTTATACTGTACAAACTTTTAGATTTGTTATAAGTATACATGGTCCCGCAGGTCCATTCGCCCACGCTGCCCCCGGGCCTGTCCTCGATGGACCGCTGGATGCTATCGAAGCTCTCGTTGGCGGTCCAGAAGGTGAACAGCGGGTTCCAGCAGTACGAGTTCCCGTCCGCCACCACGCACTGCTACAACCTGTGGCTGTATGACCTCTGCGATGTTTACTTGGTCAGTGCTAGTGGAATTGTACCACTTTTATTAACTTCGTGCATCGATCGAAAAAGTACTATATTTAATTAAGATACACAATCAGTGACAATAAATGTTCTTACCGAATTAGCGCTCATTTGAACATTTGAGCGCGCTTTTAATTTTTTTTGTGAATACAACTTTAAGCATTGCATTTAAGGTTCAATTTACTTATTGTTGTATATATTATAATACAAATAGAATAGAATAATTACCTGAACACTTTAGGATAGTACTTTTTTTATCGATTAGTTGATGTGAAATTATTTTTTGAATTTTGTGTCATAATAGAACAACACAAACACACGGCGTTACGTTCGACATTTTATTATAAATTCAGGTTTGGTCACGGGTCCAACTCAAAATAACTTTATAACTATTATTGATAGAGTCATATTATTTATTATTATTATGCATGAATAACGTAAAATATAAAATTTCAATAAAAATATTATCAGCCAAAATTTAAAATTGGAGCCCTCTAACATGTACATTTAGTGCATATGTATGTATGTAAAATGTACTAAATGCCAATATTTTTATGCTATATTCGCACCAACCGTAGAATTTATCTATACAATACAAATAAATAAAATTGAAATGTCATGTTTGTAATGTCAAAATAGCAGCTTTTTACTAAATGCATATGAAAGTATAAATAGTATTCATAAGAAAAAAAAATTGTCTGTCTGCTCTGACAAGGAAAAAAAATGTCTGCCTGTTTGTTCTGGCTAATCTCCGAAATCTTACTGGCAGATAGCTCAGCTATAAGGAGTAACGCTACTTTTATTTTGAAAAAAAGAATTAGGGCTCCATGCAAAAAATTAAAAACCCCTGAAATTGTGGAGGAAATCTGCGTACCTAGTTAGTAAAAAATCTGCAGCTTTTTGATTCCACAATGTATTCCAGGAATATCTAAAACCAGTGTTCGCCCAAGGCTCCGAGGAGCAGAAGGCGGCCGCGCGACGCACGCTGTACACCACGCTGGAGTATGGACTCAAGTTGTTGAGCCCGTTCATGCCGTTCGTGACGGAGGAGCTGTACCAGCGCCTGCCGCGCGAGGACACCAGCTGTCCGTCCATCTGTGTTGCCGAATACCCTACAGTAAGATCCTAGTGATCGGACTACTTCTTTTTTTATGTGAATTACCATGCAATCAGTTGCTCGATTGTGAGCAAATTTAATAAAGTTATTGGATTACTATTGTATATGCGAAAGTTTATATGTGTATGTATTTGTTACTCCGTCTCGCTAACACTGATGGATGGATTGGGATTAAATTTACTATACAGATAGGCTATGGCATTATATGACAAAGATTATTGTACTATTTGCTTATAATATAAATGCAAAAGGCATTTTGGAAAGGGATCCACCCGAGTCGTGCAAGGCTAAAATGCTAGTATTTTACAATTTAAAATTTGAAGTTTATGTTTTTTATTACTTTGATCCATTGGTAATGTTGATCTTTAATATATTTTTTTAATCAAATTAATCACACGCAAAATAGGCGCATAGTCGTCGAGTTGCGGAAAATAACCCGAACATACCATACAAAATCAAATTAATGAGTGACTTCCACAAAATTACTGGATATAGAATCTATAGAATGGCTTAAATCATATATTTTATTATTATATTATATATAATATTAATCTATTTATATATTCAGCACTTAAAAAAAACAATGTTTATCAAAAAGCTTTTCAGTTACATTTATTAACTAATTCATATTCTTTAGGAATCCGACACACCCTGGCGGTCTGAGCAGCTTGAGGCCAATGTAGAAACTGCCCTCAAAATAGTCCACCTCATTCGCTCTACCCGTTCTGAGTACAATTTAACAAACAAACAGAAGACCACTGCGCATCTAGTACTTTCTGATGATATGCAAGAGATAAAGGAGTTATTCAAAAAAGTTCAGTCGTTGGCTAACAGTGAACTCAGCGAGGATCAACCACCTATCGGATGTTCCATACTTACTGTGTCTGATAAGATTGAAGTGCATTTGGTTTTGAAGGTAATATTAACTAAGTTAAGCTTATACAAATTTTTTAAACTTTAAATACATTAACAGCATGGGCAACATAGCTTTAAAATATTAAATAAATAACTTTATTATTTGATATTATTTAAAATCATTATCATTAAAAGTACAATATTTTATATTTATAATGATAATTATTAATAAGATGTTTTATATTTTTAAATTTTGAAAGTCACTAAAGAAAACTTATATAAATGACAATTTTTCTTTTGTTCCAGGGCCTCATCGATCCACAGAAGGAGATCGCAAAATTAGAAAAGAAGAAGGAAAATCTCACGCAAACTATTAACAAGTTGCAGCAAGCGATGGCAGCGGATGACTACTCCACCAAAGTGCCAGTTGACGTTCAAAAACTCAACTCTGAAAAACTTTCGCAATCTCAAGGCGAGATAGAACGGCTACAAGCTGCTGTAGAGACATTGAAACTTATGTAATAGCAAATCTGTAAAAAAATTACCTTTAAGAGATGTCTAACTCTAAGATCTAGAATAAGAGATTTTTAAATGATGCACAGTTGTTTCCCTTTTTTTGTATATAAAGTTAATGCATTTTCTTTTTTGTCTATGTTTACTTATGGTCCGTGGGCAATTAATGTGTATCAGATATCTTGACGTTTTATTTGAAAAATATTACATCTGCTTATTTCTGTGTGTTATCTCTTTATTTATTATTTACTATACTATTTATTTTTCATTTTTTGCAATAATTCTTTTAACGTTGATGCAAATGTTTTTTTTTATTTTGTCATTAAATATTTTTGTGTAATAACTAATGACTTGTCCTTGCTTCGTTCGGGCGCCTCCCTTAGATGCCTAATAATAGCCGATAAAGTAACTCGAAAGCTATTTTTTCTGACTTCAATTAAAGTTATTTTCATTTCTGACAGAAAACATTTTTTTCGGAATAAAAAATAGTTACAGCAATCGAAGGTGATATTCCTCGTTAGCTTCCCATTTAAGTGTGTAATAGAATTTTTAGAGATTAATCAATACCTATATAGAAAACCACAAACTGTACTATTGTAATACAAGTGTACTGTGTAAATTAAATTAAAATTCTGTAACATTAGTGTAAATTAAAATATTAAAAGTTAATAAAACTATTAAAAAAATCGATAAGTCCATTTTCCTTTTTGAGAAATTTACATTCATCAGTATTTTGTTATGTAGTGAAAATATAATTTAAAGAAACCTGAAATTTGTTTCACTAATAAAAATTAACACTGTATCAGCATCGGTGCTTTATAAGCTATTTTTTTATTCCGATACAAATGTTTTTACTATCAGAAATCATACAGTTTTGATTGAAACGAAAAAAAAAACGTTAAATAGATTTATCGACATGCTCTTAATAATAAGTTTAAAATAATTTCATATAGGTATATGCATAAATTAATACGTTTAAAGAAAGTATTTTAGAACTGTTACTATTACTACATGGTACTCAAAAAACTGTATACAGGCATCATTAGCAATGTTAGTTGCTTGTTGATGTAGCTTGAAAATTAGTGTGATGTTCTCCTAGCCGATTCCGGCTACGGCGGCCAATCTCATTGAGATTAGCCAACTGCGCAGGAGATATTATAGTGCACAAGAGTACGCGCAGACACAAGTGCACTCTATTCCTATCACTCTCATACACCGGTGGGACGACCACTCGACACGACCGGTCAGAGTTAAGGCGCAGGACCGACGGCTTTACGTGCTCTCCGAGGCACGGGGGTGAAACACCGCCAACTTCCCAACTCCGGGCTGTTACTGAGGCTTACTATACAGAAAGACTCAATAACTAAACTTGGCCCGACCCGGGACTCGAACCCAGGACCTCCGGAAGTGCAGCCGTACATGCTAGCCACTACACCACCGAGGCAGTTAAATAAAAAAAGATAATTAGTGTAGTGAATAAATAAAGTTATGTATGAAATATTGCTAATAAATTAATTATGCTTAAATTATTCTTTTTGTTTTCGAAATTTTCTAAAAATATACCTAAAATATATTATACTTAGCGCAAAATATATTTTACTTTAAATCAAATTAAAATTTTGTAGATATAGAATATAAGTTCTTAAAGATATTGAATTAAAAGATTTCCTTACCGCAGAGATTCTATCCCTCAAGAAAAATCTAATCCCATCAAAAACATACTGTAAAAATATTGCAAGTCTCGCAACGCATCTTTCTACCGCAAAAAGCTATGAGATATAATGTAAAACCAAGTCGGTTAATTTATTCATTACCTATCTATGGAAGCATCTATCCGACAACTTTGTCATAAATCGTTACCGAATTAGTTAAGTTACAACATTTTATAGTGACCGTATTAATATTAGATATATTTATTTCTTTAATTAATAGAGTGACTTGGCCATCGCACGGAAACATAATCACATAAGAGTCGACTACTTTAAATAGTCCTAATTAAAAATACCATGACCAAGGTGGACGGACGACTTGGTCAAAGTCGCTGGAGCCCACTTTATGCGGATGGCATAAGACTGGTTGTCGTGGAAATTTTTGGGGGAGGCCTATGCCCAGCTGTGGACGTGTTTGGGCTGAAATGAACGGAACATAGTACTAGCGGGTCAAATTGATGCATACACTAACAATACATAAATAATGCACTCAGAACGTTAATATTAGGTAAATTTTGTTATTTGTAGGTTCTGTTATCATGTGCGATGGCCAAGTCATTCTATTAATTAAAGAAATAAATATATCTAATATTAATACGGTCACTATAAAATGTTGTAACTTAACTAATTCGGTAACGATTTATGACAAAGTTGTAGGATAGATGCTTCCATAGATAGGTAATGAATAAATTAACCGACTTGGTTTTACATTATATCTCATAGCTTTTTGCGGTAGAAAGATGCGTTGCGAGACTTGCAATATTTTTACAGTATGTTTTTGATGGGATCTCATTCCTTTTTGTAAATATTTCTTCTTTTTCCCTTTTCTTGTACTATTTCTTGTGTGTCAGCTAAGGACTTCTTAAAAGCCCACTCCCTGTCTCTGTGGGCTTTTTTCAGAGGCTTTGATATAACAAATTTTGACAAGTCTGGATGATAAAAAATCTAAGTCTATTGTATTCGGAAATTGCGGATTCCTGGGCTTCATTACTACTATCTTATGCATTAAGTATAAATATGTATAGTTAATTTAATGAATATTTTAATTTCATTGTTGACCCTAAATACCTACCCCGATACTGATATTGAACTTACGTAAGTTTAATAAAACGTGTAGATTTATGTGTCTATCTGCGGCATCGTAGGTAAATCCCGAAGGTTGTTATACTTAATTATTATTGCTTGTTCAGTCAATTTTGATGCAGTTTAATAGAAAAGTGAGGTTGCCAACTCACTTCATTCACTGATTCCATTGGCCATTTTAAAAGTAATTTTCGAAGAGATTGATATTTAATGACCTCTATATTCTATGTTCTATTAGGTGTGTACAGTTACGAGCAATGAAATGTTAACAAGTTTTCTAATTCAAATCAACATCATACTTTATAAAAGAAAATATACGAGCTTTGTTTCAAAATATGTTGGGACAGTAACACACAGAACCATCTAGTTCCATGGTAAGCTACGAGGCTTGTGTTATGGATACTAGATAGTTGATACACTACACATATATAACTTTAAATACATACATATTATAAATATAAACACCCATGACTGGAGTACAAACTTTAGTCATCACACAAATGAATGCCCTCAGCGGGACTCGAACCCGCGACCGCCGGCACAGAAAGTAGGGCCGGGCCACTACAAACTGAGCCAAACGTGTCGTCAAAAATTAAGTAATCGTCAAGTTTTGTCGTAATTAGGTATATATTTTAATAAATTCATTATAAATAACAGGTAATCGAATATTACTTGGTAATACACTATATACGCTTCACGTTGTATATATGTACCCATTTGTATATGCATAAAAATGTATACAGCTACTGAAAACGCTTGAAATAATATTTTCAAATTTGAATAATATTTTTCTAATGTATACAATAGTTGCAATAACAACATTAATAAATAAATAGACGAATCGTGATTAGGTTAGTAATTACGAGGGAACATAGGATCGAACATACAAACATACACACAGGTTAAACACTAACCTAACCTCCTTTTACATTACAAGTGACGACAATTATATGTATGAACTGCACAAGTAACTTTGTAATCCCATATATCGCATATCTTTTTGTATAGGATTACAAAGTTACTGATGCAGTTTGTTGTATATCTCGAAAACAGGATTGAAATTGCGTGATGTTTGAATTTTTCCTTGGGTTATAGAGTAAACACGAATTGTATTCAAAATTTGAAGCTTCTATGTCTGCTAGAAGTACCTTAGAATTTTGATGATCGGTGAGTGAGTGAGTGACGATATTAACGAATTTTGATCTGCAACAGTTCATAAACTACTGGTTCAAATTGAATGTAATTTGGAAATGTACCTAGTTTTATTATGTTCTCTTAGTCACTCAAAATTCAAGCTTCTAGCTTTATCCATAACGAAGTTATGGGGGGGTGGAAAATGCTCTGAATCCCTTCGAGAAAAGGATGGTACTGCCGTGCCCTTTTTTGCTCGACTTGTTTGCTCGACTTGGCGGGGGCACTGCCGTGCCCCCCGATCAAATATATAATAAATGATTATAATATATTCAGGATGTTTCATAATTTGATCGCATCCTATATTAATATCGATCTCAGCTGTTATTGATTTTCTTGTCAAACTCTAAACTAAACGTCACTCGACTCGTCAGATCTGTAAAATTTGCCGGATAATGGTGTTATCGATGAAGTTATGAAATATGAATTATTACTATTAAATCTAAACTGAAGTTCTAAGATATATAATAATAATTTATAACTTTAATAACATTAGTTTTATTAATAACATAAAATATGGAGTTCCCCACACTCGGCGAGCACTGCCAGAACAAAGAATGTAACCAAGTAGACTTCCTACCTCTTCAATGCAAATGTGGAAAAGTTTTTTGCCGCAATCATTTTAATATTCATTGTACATCTGGAGACTGCGAGCTGGCGCCAAAGCCTAAGGAAGTTAACTTACAAAATGACGATCAAATATACAGGTGTTCATATTCCGGTTGCAAGAAAGGAAATCTACATGAAATGCTGTGTCATAAGTGCAATAAGCATTATTGTATTGACCATAGATTTCATGCGTAAGTTTATTTATTATTCTTATAACATATTTATTTATTAGGTTCATTCTAATTATATGGTACTTTATAGCAAATAATATTTGCTTATTAATTTTTATATCTTATATTATTATAGAATAGCCCATTATTGTAAATTATGTATAAAATACACAACTCTATGTTATCAGGTCTTGTCCAGAAATAGATGATGAAACAATGGCAGCTAAAATAGAGCAGTTCGAAGCACCAAGACGCCAGTTCCAAGAGGCAAATAAACTCCTTCAAGGAAAGGTAAGACTTTCCTTCCTTTTTTCCTAACCTATTTCTTTATTTGGTTTGATTTTGTTATGTCCATTTTTATTTTTTATGTTATTTTTTCCTACAGATTACAGAAAATATAAGGAAAGCATTACAATCATCAGCTAAAGTGAAAACGGCATCTAAAATCCATTTGATGAGAGTAAAGCAGAAGGCTTTAGGTCCTAAATCAATTTCAGTGTCTGATAGAGTATATTTTGCAGTCAAAAAACCTATATCTGTAGAACCAAAAGCAGTCAAAATCATTCAAGATATAAACAATATAAAATCCTTAGAATCTGTATCATTGGAACCGGATTTAAAAGATACTGTGCCACTATTTATTTCGACTAAGTGGAGTCTCGGGAGAGCTATTGACAGTATTTGTGACACATGTAATATTAAAAATGAAAATAATAAAATGGGACATACTAAAGTAAGGCTATATCGACAGTTAGATGGTTATTGCATAAGTCCTTTAAAAATGGATGTAGAAATATCAGAGCTATTAAAAAATGAAGTTTTATTAGAGGGAGATAGGTTAGTTGTTGAGTATATTGATACTAATGTTATAAATAATTTAGAAGATACAGCACAATTATTTTTAAGTTAATTTATTTTTGTGTTTTTAAATATATATTTTTTGATTTTATGTTGTTCTTTTCTTTTCCCTTTATTATTATAGAGTAAATAATATGGTTTCAAGTTTTTCACTGTACATATAAAAATATAGTAGGTTTTGTAGATGTTAAACACTGTGTTTTGTGTTGGTTTGATATACTGTGCTTTGTCCAAATTGACAAATAATTATCATAATGTTTATTCAGTGGGATGAAATAAAACAACAGCGTTGTACTTAAAAAATACAATTAAATTTATTATGAGGTATCAATAAAAACACAGTTCAAATAAATAATCCTATAATTACAATAATATCAAAGTGTCTATACTAATTAGTAATTACATAATTTCTATATCGCCATTTTCTTTTTGGACATTTGTTATTGATTTATTATAATCTACTAGAGGTAAAAGCGGTGGTGCGGAGGGGTTGGTGTGTCCGGTGGGGGGAGGGGTGGCCGCCAATTTGTATTTTTCAATCAGCCAATTACATTTCCCCGTCCTAGCGATTAAAGAGATGAGATCTCGTCGATACTGTTTAGTTAATATCGCGTACAGGAATGGATTCGCACACGCGTTTAATGGATAAAAGAATACGAGTAGCACTTTGCCGTGGCTTACGTCGACTAACGGTACTCCAGCTAAAGCGGTCACTCCGAAAAAAGCGACAGGTGCCCAACATAGTAAATCTGTGCCTATTAGGAGCGCCATTTTGTTAGCTATACGTCTCTCCGCGGCGGCGGCGGCGCCTCTCCCTCCATACTTCTCACCTCCTCCACCCAAAGACCTGTATATCTGTACATAGCAGACTACGATAGTGACCCACGCTATTGCGTTCGTTAAAAACAAGCTGCCTTGATATACCGCGTCGCCGACTCCCTCGCTTTCCACCGGCAAGCATATCGACGTGGACGAATAATCTGAAACCCCTACTAATGGGAGACCCGCCATCAAAATGGAGAACAACCACCCGCCGACCATGATCTTAGCCGCCGCACTCAAAGTAATACGTCGGTCCAAATAAATTGCGTACGTGATCGCGAACCACCGTTCCAGCGTGACTATAGTCAGCGTGAACACGGACATTTGGCCGGAGAAAACGGAGAAGAATCCGGCGATCTTGCAGCCGACGCCGTACTGCCAGTCGTACGCGTAGTTGAAGAACTCCCCGTAGGACCTGATGTCGACGAGGGCTATCATGAAGAGGTAGACGCCGGTGCAGAGGTCGGAGAAGGCGAGATGGCACATGAGGAAGCGCGGCACGGCGGGGTCGGCGCGCAGCAGCACGGCGAGCACGGCGGCGTTGCCCGCCAGCGCGGCGCCCGCCACCAGCCACACGCTGGCGCGCAGCCACGCCCACCCCATCACGTCCTCGCACGGGTTCAGCGCATTCGGCTGCGGCGTGCATTGCACCTTTCTGCGACTGACGTTTGTATATTAATTCACTAGCGACTCAAGTCTCTAGGTACGTTTTAACGGTTAGTATGCGTATGCCACGAGAACCGTACATTTTTCCGGGATTAATAGTAACCTATGTGCTATTCCAGTCTATAACCTCTATCGCAAATTTCATCCAGATCCGTTCAGCCGTGCTAGCAGTGAAAGAGTAACAAACAACCATCCATACTCACAAACTTTCATATTTATAATACTTATTAGTATGGATATTATGTATTAGTAAGATTGCAAAACCCTAATTTGGGCTATTTTGTGAATGATACCTTTTTTTTTGAAATCGGTTAAAAACCATACTAAATATGGGATAAAATTAGTAAAATGCAAACAGCCATCTATGATTACACTGAATAAACTTATTACCTAACAAGCGACTCACCCTCGCTTCGCATCGTCGTCCCTAGGTGATTCTTTAAATTGACATTACTTTTTTATTTATGAACCGATTGAAATAAAACAAATAGGTACTTCACTTTAAGTGAAGCTTGCCACAATACATTAGTGAAAAACGGATCTAAACCGGTTAAGCCATTTCTGAAATTTGCGCGCACAAACGAACAGACAAACGGACAAAACTTCTAAAAACTAAAAAAAAATCCTCTGTATCGATAATGACTATTTCAATAAGATTTTCCAAAAAATATTCAATGTACAGATTCGACTTAGTTAAAATTTTATCATACACTAGCGGCTCACCCTCGCTTCGCTCGGGTTCGTCGCTAGGTACGTTTTAAATAGATACAAATATATAATAGCCAGCGTTAGCCATATATGTTGAAAACGCCCGTACTTATTTTTTTTTTAGCAAGATTAAATGCTGTATGTAGACCAAAATCTAGTCATTGTAGACATTTTGTACTTACAGCAAAAGAAAGACTGCATTTTGTGCTTTACAAATACTTACTTCTTCCCATTTAAAAACTTAACGCTACTTACAGCATTTCTGCGGCGTGTGATTTTTACATTCGTTTACTTACAGCAAGTTTAGGGAACCTATAGTTTTAGTTTTTGTTATTTACAGCAAATCATCACGTATTTGCTTTAAAAGCTCACACCACATAATGCATTTTAAAAACCTGTGATTTTTTAGAAATTTGGGTTAATACATTTTGATAAATCATTTATCATTTCATTTTACCGTAACGCCATTGAAAAAATGATAGTACTTTGAAGTTGTGTCAGTGTTACCGCATCGCTACCGGCTCCGCCCGCACCGTTCATTCCTTGTACGACATTCTGTTATTGTCTCATAATGTTTTATCTCTTATTTATAAGAGAAAAATACTTTTTTAATTCATTGTATTGTTGAAAGGAAGTTCTGGCAGTATACTTAGAGTTTCAAATTTTGTTCCTACAATTTAAAAGTCCATAATTTATTTTTACCATTTACGACATTTTATTTCAACCAAACATTACATTACCAACTGACCCACTGCATTTCTAGATCTAATCATAATTATAAATTTAATCTTACATCATGAATTGCAGTACCCAAGTAAATAAATTTACTGCATATAATATATTTACCGCCTGTAAATTGATATTTCCATCTACGCGTACATTTTTCTTCCTTAGTTACAGCGTTTTAAAGGTATGTGATTTAAAAAACTGTTTACTCTAACTAGCCAAACACGCACTTATAGTAACTTTGGATAAAAAGTTTACATTGCAAATGGTAGTCACCATAAGGCAGTTAAATAAACCTATGTTCCAAAAATGGTAGCAATATCATGGATAGGTCAGACACTATTAATTTTTTTCCGAAATTAATAAAGTTTTTTGGCTCTGGTGAACAATTGCAATATGTCTACTAATTACAGCAAATATTATGCTTTCCTACGTCGATATATAGATAGATTATCCCAGTATATAAGTACATTTTCGTGGGATATCACACCGTTAGAAAAAGCTAACCTACGAATAAATAAATTATTTATTCGTAGTAATTAACTAAAGACAAGTCGGAAGAAAGCGAGAGTATGCCATTAAAAAAATTAAATTCTTTCAAATTTTATTCAGCCGTCATAACGAATACTGTCAAGTGTCATTGATAATACGCGGATAAACCGATTAAAAAATGTTACAATATACTAATAAACCTACTGTTAACTAACTAATTTTCAATTACATTCCAATTAATGTCGATAAGCATTTTCAAAAATACCGATGTACGAACTATGTGTCATTCTTATTTTATTTGATACAGGTGCACGGCGGTGTATACGCTAAGTTCATCGATTTTTGAAATTACTTATAATTAATTTATAACAATCATGGGCGCGGCGGCAGAATTATTTCCAGGGGGATGCATCTGCTTCGTCACATTAAACTATTAATCTTTATAGATTAACTTTATATTTTTTATTCAATTTTATTTATCGTCTTTTCTTTGAAGATATCTATCTAAATTTAAACAGGGATTTTACTCATTCATATAGGTAATTTTATTTCTCTACATACATATTTTCCTTTATGGCATCCCCCTCTTGGCGCCCATTATAACAATTAACATTTCTATAATAATTATTTTTGTCGTAATGGCTTAGCCATTTTCGCCCACTGTTCGAGCTAGGTCTTTCCTATTTCACGCCACTAAGCTTTATCAACTCTAGGCATCCAACAACTGCCATGTTCTATAGGTTTACATAAGATGTATAATAACGAAATTAAAAAATATATATATGACTTAAATACAAGTAAAATCAAATTACCTGAGACTAAAATTCCCACAATCCGCGAACACAGCAACACCTAAACTTTTATTGACTGGTTCGCGAAAGTCTTCGTCGTAGTCTTCAAAGCTGCCGGAATCTGAGAAATACTCTCCGCTATTCCAAGGCACGTACTCCTCACTTGATGCGCTAATGTCATCGTATGCACTAAAAATATTATATACATATCATTTTTGGAGAAAATTCCTTATAGCTTGATGAAATAAGTTATAATAGTACAAATAAATTAATTTTTAGTATGTTATTTATTAAGATATCTTATCAAACATATGTTTATAAAAGTTTAGGTATATTATATTATGGCGTAAATATTTTAAAAAATACATTTTATATGTCAATATGTAATAAGCACTTACTCGACAGTTGTTACCGTCACGTCGATAGCGTCTGTAGATCTACGCTTTCTTAATTGCTGTGCTTTTATTTGTTCATTTCTTCCGCATCTCTGGAAATTTTTATTTACTATTTAAGTATTAATGTGATAACAATTTTGTTATAATCCGGTATCTATATATCTATAATACATTATAAATTTATTTTTAACGTATTAAAGATTTTTTGTTGGGTGGTTGTTATATATATATATATATATATATATATATATATATATATATATATGTATTTATTATAGGTTCTAAAAAATAGTCTAGACACTAACCTAAGTTATTTGTTATGAATAACTAAAGGAAAGTTTTATTTGCTAATTTTCATTATCATTTTGATGTTCAATGCTAATTAATTTATCACCTGTTAATTCGAAAAGACTATTTCGGAAGTAAATCATAAATCACTGCTCATAAATCAAGTACCAACATAAACATTTAGCAATAAAGTATTCAATACGTAACAGGCTTTATTGATTTTCCTCCCACCGGCGCAGGACGGCCCGGGCCCGGCGGAATGGGTCGCTTCAATCAGTTTAAAATAGGTTTTACACCTATGCACACGGGATAAATGGCAGTTGCATAAATTGCCCAAAATTATAAATTCTTGCATAAATTAAAATTAGTCTATACATCTTGAAACTTTCGGCGTGTTTAACGCGATACTTTAGTGGAGATGAGATTGGTAAGTTTTAGTTGATTGTTTATTTCAATTGTCATCACAAGGGTAATTGTATCGAACAATTTTATGTATGTATGTATGTATGAAGAAGGGAATAAACATAATATAAAGTCTTATTTAAATAACTTTAGCGATTCACTTGTTGATATTGCACGTTGGGTGGTTGTTACGCTATAAACATTCTTTATGTCGCGGTTAATCTTTTTTCTTTGTGTACTTAAAGATACTTGAAATAAATAAATGTTCTTTAACAAATTGCTAGCGAATTTCCATAAGTTTACACTTTTTTAGTGAGCTTTTAAGAACAATGATGTATTTGCAAGCGAATTCTGTTTTCATTGTTTACTAAGTATGTATATTATTATTTTCGCTGTTGATAAAATAGATGAACCTATTGTGTTTCATCTTAGTAAATTTTCGCGTAATAACACGTTTTGCATTTGGATCAGCATATCTTATCTTGTTTTTTAATAATTACGTCCTCAATAAATATATTTTTAGTTAAGTACATAATTACTGAACAAAGACGGTACTATGTATACATATATATCGACATAAAATGCAATCGATGCAGCCTTCATGTCTGGGATGTGCAGCGCAGGTCACATCAGAGGAGGGGGCAAAGGATCAAATGTAAAAGGGGATTGAGGAAGAGGTAGTCAATTATAGGGACGGGAGGGGACTTTATATTGCAAACTCCGCTTTCCAATTTCATATTACGTGTAGCAAAATACCTGTCTACAACGGGGAGGTAAAGGGGATGAGGGACAGGGAAGAAATGTGGGTGGCCCTCCCCAATATTGAATTTCATTTTGCGCAGACCATTCCTTTGATATAGCACTAGGATGCAATCGATGCAGCTATCACCCTGGATTGTGCAGCGCAAGTCTGTTACAGAAAGGGGAGGTGGAGGGAGCAGGGATGAGGGATGAGGGGTAGGTGGGACTAGACTAGGTCCCTTGATATGAGATTTCGGTTGGGCGAGGTCAGGACGTCTCTCGGGCAACAGATAGGATAAAGTATGTTTCTATTGATTGAATGTGTTTTAAATATAGTGTCAATTCTTAAACTGTTGTGGGCGTAATATGTTCTGTACAGAAAAAATAAGAAGAATATCTGCAAAAATAGTGGAAATGATAGTGAATTTAGAAAATTTATTGATTTAGTAAAAATTTTTGGAAGAGTGGAAAACTTAAAGGCATCTATTGTTATATTTGAAAAAGATCCTACCATTTCTTATGATTTTTTAAATAAAATAAATAACATACAGGTATGTCTCATGATAGTTATCCTAATTATCGCTGACGACTCTAATTATTAATGATATTATATTATATCATGTTAATAAAAATAATAAAATAATAATTATATTAAATTCTATAATAACCTTTTCTCTTCTGGAATATTGTACTATCAAAAATTCAAAAACAAGTTTATTAGATTGTTCTTTTGTTATAACTAATATAATAAATACATCTTTGGCATTGGATTTAAATTAATTTAAAATGAAAAATATAAATAATTTAAATAAAATTTCATACATCGGTCATGATGGCTAGTTGTGTTTCGTATAGCGCGTGCCTCGCGGGGTTGTGTCGCTCGGGGAACTCGAAGGCGCAGCAATGGAAATGGTGGGTTAGATAAGCCTTTTCTAATCGCTGTACATACAAATATAAAAGTATTTTAATATATAACGAAAATATTTATTAATTTCTTTTCGATTTAACTTAATTTTGTGAGATATATTTATGATATATTTAGACCTCCATAGTAGTTTTGTATTTTTTTTAAAGAAATCAAGGTTAACGTGTAACGGTTAAATAAATATTATATATTTTTTCTCTATAAAAATATTATCTACCATCGTAGTGATTAGGTAAGTATATTATTATAATTAAGTAAGTGTTTTAAAATATAATTGCAATTTATAAGATCTCGTGGCTTACTGCTTAATTAAACATTTAACGGCTTGTTACTCTTATAGAGCGTAGCTAATTCTAGAAAATTTACATTATAAGTATAGCTTTAAAGGCGATATAGTTATATCTATTAATAATTTATAATACTAATAATATAAAAAAGAGCAAGTAATATTTCGCCTACTGAATTAGATTTTTTTAATTTTAACTTTTTATAAATCATGGCGTATTTTCAGCTTTTTTTATGCGTATGAATTAGGTATTGCACTCACAATATAAGAAAAGAATATTTGGCACGCTTATAGCAAATTTCAGCATTTTTCTTAGATTTCTGATTTTGAGTAAATATTAATATTTATCTCACCTGAAATTCATAAATTGAAGGAATGTATTTTAATGATGGTGTCTTTTCTATTCTCAGCACTTCAAGGTTTTCCAGCCCTTTAGTAGGTAGTGATACTATAGCTGTGTTACTTAGGTCTCTGAAATATAAACAAAAAACAAAATTAATTTGTTTTAGTATGTAGTTAATTATTCTAATTAATATTTCCATGAAAATATATGATTAATATATATTTCTGGCTTACCCCTTTATTACACAAAAACATGATACGATAAGCAGTTGTTCAAGTGTGATTAAGCTCGAAACAATAAAAATAGTTATTATTATTTCACTTTAAAATCAACTAAAACTAATAAAATTTAACAATCAGAGCGGCAGTGTCGCGTTGCCAGATGCATATATTTTCTTATATACTTAACAAAATTTTACATAAGTTCCATTCTAGTTAAGGCTACCATTTAATGGATAAATAATATATTTGTACATATAAATAAATACTTAATAACTTACAACTGTCTTAATAAAAGGTTTCCAGCGAAGGCTAAATCATCAATTCTTTTAAGTTTTGTGTTTCCCTTGAAACTTCTGAAAATAGACATTCTTTTTCTAAAATGTACCCATATTAGTGATTACAATTGAAATTTAATAGTAAGTAATTTTCCATCTTAAATATTTTTATTTTATAGTGAATTATGAGATGTATAATATCTGAAAAATTTAAATAAATCTATATTTATAATAATAGTCATTAAAATGACTTAATTAAAAAGTATTTAATTAATATTTAGTATATTAAAAAAAATTAAAAATATTTATAGCCACATATTATGGACTTAAGCTTTTTAAGCATCTTTTGTTCAACTTTGAAAGTCGGTCATCTTTATTACTTACAATCTTGATATCTGAGAATTCTTAAATGCATGAGCTGGTACTTCCTCAATCAAATTGTAGTTCAATGAACTGAAACGTGACAAGTAAATGTTTGATAATGTTTAAATACACACTAATGTATGTTTCATTATAATGTAGAGCAAAATAAATCATAACAAGAAATAAAATGAAACAAAAAAATAAAACATAATTGACAATCGCTATTAATTAAATTATAATACTACATGTAACATTACAAATATTTTTACTTTAGTAAAAAATATTTTTTTATCAAAGAAGTTTTAACACAAGAACTTGGCGAAATACTTCCATTCGTCCAAATCTTGTTTATCACAGTATTTTGTGTATCTTAAAATAATTGAATATTTAAATTATTTATATTACTTTGAAATTGCCGCAATATTAATTCATAATAATAATTAAAAATAAATAAAATAAAATAGCATAATCAGTATGTACCTGTACTTACACTTGGTCAGCGCGGACTCGCAGCGCGTGCGTCGGTATGCGCTTTATATGGTTGCCTTCGAGATCTCTAAAAGTTTAAATGTTTTTCTTATTATTAGTAAACATTTTTTAAATAAAAGTTAAAAAGTAATAAAGATTTAATACAATATCAAAAGATAAAATGATTAATAAATAGCAAAAACAATACATACTTTCAAATATTTATGAGTGATGATAAAATTCATTAAAAAATAAGTAGGTATACATCTATGTACTATTAATTATATTTTTTATGTAAACTGTTATTTTTTATCGAAATTTTAAAAGAGATGAAATATTAAAAAAAAATAAAAATAAAATAAAAATCAATATGCAACTCACATGGCCTGTAAATAAGCAAGAGACGTATTTCCACTGTTTTTGTCATGAACGTGGCTTAAGTTTGGTACTTCAGTGAGGCCGCATGTAGTGATGATACTAAAAAAAATTTAAAAGCTTTATAATATATGGGAAAAAAAAACTAAAATATGTTAATACAAATACCGAACCGCGTCGTTCGTAATAAAAGTAGGTAAATACGACGACTTTGAATTTGAGGTATATATATAAAATATACATATAAGCGTTTGCATATTTTAAATTACAATTAGTAGAAACTTTATTTTAAACGTAATTAATTGATGAGCGAAATAATATAAAAAATACATACGTACAATGTGCGCAGTTCGGGCAAGGCTGGTAAAGGCGCTATTCTATGTAATAGAGGCGCTTGGGTTATAAAACTGAAAACATGAAATAATTTATATATTAATGTTCCATTGAATCAATTGAGTGAATATCTAGTAGATATTTAATTTTTAAGAAGCGAAGTAAATTTTAAATTTTTACTTTTCTCTCTACAGGGAGACTTAAAAATCAATTAAAGCATACCATATTCTATTTTAATAAATTTTTATAACATTTATAAACAATGAACATTCAAAAATATTAAATATCGCAATTCCATGGATTTACATCTAAAGTTTAATTACTGTGACATTAATAGACCTTACTTATAAAACATAATAAACGAATACGGAAGAATTGCTTTGCAATGCATGTTGATAACCGATACATATATTTTTCCAGCATAAAACAAAAATATATGTATAGTATATTTTTATATTCCTCAAATAAAAGTATCGATATATTTTTATAGTAACGATATGTATGTATTTATCTCTGCAAGTCATTGTGGCGTTTTAGTATTTTAATTTTCATATTTTCAGAGCTGTAAATTGCATCTACTATAACTACATGTTAGTAGTTTATTCTCCAGTCTCTATTAATTTTAAATAAAATTTTAATAATTTATTTATACGTTCGTTATAAAATATTTAGATTAATATATTTGCACATCAAACAATAAAATTTACTTACAATGATTTGAGATTAGGCATTTTGGTCAGATCTTCTACAACAACATGTTCTAAATCCGGCGCGTCCATCACCGTTCTGTGAAATCAACAAGTTTATTTATTTAAAGCAAATCTACTCTTGACTTTTTATTAAATAATAACGATTTACTCTGAGTTACTCTGACGTAGATATAGTACCTACTGAAAATGCAAAGAGATAAAATTATATAGGCTTATAAAATACAAGATTTTGCCCGCGACTTCGCTCGTGCAGTTTATTCATGTATCATATTCTTAGCCCTACAGGTTGAATTGTGATATTAAAAAGGAGTATTATTATTTTAAGACGTAAAGTGTAAAAAGTAGTTCAAGAGCTTAGTGCGTTCAAAAAGCAAATTAACTTTGCAAAATAAGTACCTAATATTAGTACCTACCTATTAAAGTAATTTCTAATATTATTTTTCTTCTTTATAATAATTTATTTAAATGTAAGTTCTTTTCAATATTTCAAAAGTATCTTTTACATGTGATATTTTTTAATAAGACAAAATAAAGATTGTATCTACCATCTCTCAATCATAACCCGCATTTATAACAACCGCGTCGAGTTAATTGATACGAAGCGACTAATAAAAATTGTTTGCTTTATCCTAAGTGGACAGCTTACGAACCGAATGCCGATCCTGAATTTCTGACATAGGCAACAATTGAACATGTCAGCTGAATTAAGGACAATATATAGCTAAATAAAAGATATTAATATACCTAATTAACCCTATTTTATAACAAAAATGAAGTTACTTTTCACGGAACCCAACTAGTTTAATTTTTTATCCTGATCTTTAATTTCTAAACAAGAAATCTTCAGAGACTAACTTCTCTAGGTTAAACGTACAGACAATCCGTTACTCGGTTCGTGGTAATATGTTAATTTAATCGAAGCAAGATGACAATTCAATATGCGTACATGTATAAGTTACTTTACGGTCATGATTACAAAATAGTCTCGTCACTTGTGACTGATAGGGTCAATCTGAAAGTTTTATGTTTTTGAAATGTTTTCAATACCTTTAAATCGAATTAAAAATTTTACTGCATTACCATTAGCGACTTGTCCACCGTTTCTTATCTCGGCTCAACTGTACAATCTATGACATCGAGTTGAAATTTCATATTTTTTTCACTAATAGATCTCTCTATTAGAAGCCTATGTATATATAAAGTTTGAGACCGCGGAAACAAATAGTTTTGTCAAAAAAAATTTCAAGTTCCAACTTTTTATGTAATTTTACCACATTTATACTCGCACTTATCGATGTTTTTCACAAAGTTCGTTCTAATATTCTATGTTCTGAGTTATTATCAATCATTATTGTAGTTAAATACATAATTTAATAGTTAAAATCTTGATTTATATGTACGTAATAACAAATATAAACTGGTACATAGTATATTGGTTATGTGATATGTCAATGTCAAAATTAGCTAAATAGGAACAGCGACGCCAATTTGAAATGTCAGTTTTAGTGTCAGTTGCTATTGTTTTTTATTTCCACGTAGGAAAGCTTTATCAAAATAGGTTTAGGTAATTTTTTGGCAGAAACCTTTCTTTCTAGGTTGGTTAGGTTAGAAGAGTTAAAACAATGCCAGAACGACTAGAACTTTTAGAACTTTTTTCATAATCCGTAGCCACTTTTCCGGTACCTATTATTATACATGCAAAAGTTGTCTTAAAACTGTCACCAAATGTGTTTAGGTAATTATTCTAGTTGAAATATAAAACAATGTACATTGAACCTTAAGTGCAATGCTTAAAGTTGTTTTCACAATAATTTTAACCTCAAAAATAGAAATTTTAAAAATTAAATATCTCAAAAACTACTAGCCTCCACGGTTTTCCCTTTTAAGGAGGCGTCCCTCTCACACCTCCCCTCCTCCACCATCCTCTCTCCTCCCTTAAATCTATGTCATAGATTGTACAGTTCAACCCTTATCTCATTATCTTTTTCCTTGCAATACACCAATATCCCATAAGAACACCATAATATATGGAGTTATCATCACATAAATGTAGCATGTGCCACTCAGGGATAATGTAGATTTGTATTGGTAAAAGAATTTTCAGAGTAGGATCAGTAGGATCCTATACTTTACGTTATCATACCTCTTTATAATATTTGCGTAATATACAGAAAATGAATTTATATGTAAAAATATTTTATTGAAAAGAAAAAATTAAGTACTCACAAATGTTCGACTCGATCGAGGTCGTAGCCCGCCGCGCGTATGACCCGCGCATTTAGCTTTGTGATATTGGAGCGATGGAACAACACTGATATCATTCCCGTACTTTGACTCTCGCCACATTTTACTGAAATAAAAATTATTTTCTTAGGTTTTTGTTATAAAATTACATTGTTTTAACCTGTGTAGACCGAGATGTTTAGAACTACATATGTTACATATAGGTATACAACAACATATACAACCATACATTCGTTCATATTATCTAATATTTTTATTGCAGTATATTTTGTAATTTTTGTAGCTATAACGTGTATCGACTAGTCAAAATCAATCCAATTTTAATGTTAAACTAACCGTCATTCTTTACCAACCCAATTACTATTATAAATTATGTGATTCTATTATATACATTTGTTTAAATAATTCTGCTTTTGGTGTGAAATTGTGTATAAATACCTATTAAAGTATTATAATTTAGTCGCGGTTAGTGAACTTTTGTTTAGATTATATATTATATTTTATATTATTATTTTATTAGACAGTTTAAATTCCCATCATGTGCGCAACGAATTTTTGCATGAAAACTTTTTGAAATAAGTAATTTTGTCATAATATTCTTTTAAAATATAATGTAAACACAGCAGAAAATCTTCAAAAATAAATTTATCTGAGATGCAGCAATGAAATCATTTTGATCGAAATAAAAGAAAAGTAAATTTTCTTGAAAGCTGTAATGTTTCAAACGTGTTAATGATCATTTCCGTTTACAGGCGCATAATAAAGGCAAATGTACGAGTATGAATCGTTTAATAATAAACAACATCCATTTGTTTATATTGAACATTTAAAATTAGATAAATCTATGAAATAACGTCTGTATATTTATAATGTATCTGTCCAGATTAAATATTTTAAAAGCGAAAAAAGTTAAAATACTTCATTACAATTATTGTTATTATTAACGCTTAAAAGTTGATGTTTTAATGGCAGATTCAAAGGAACAATATTTCATACAATAATTCATATATTTATTCACTTGTATATCGGCTGTATTATAACATTTAAATAAAGCGTAATCGGTTAAAAATATCGTCGTTGCATTTCTTTTATTAATAATAAAATGTGAAACCCAGCAATAATTCTAAGTCTATAGTGAACGCTTAATTCAATTTAATTAATGGCTTTAAAGCGTGCCAGTTGAGCACCGATTACTTCGCTAATGTCACGTGGAATGGAGAAGACACGAAGGATAATGAACGCTGACAATTACCTTACGATGTGTCACTTATAAGTATTTGCTAAAGCTATCACAAGATAGGAAGCATACTAATATTGATTATTATTAATCAAAACAAACTAGAATATTCTGCGTAATGTGTAAAACATGCCACTGTATTAAGCTAACTAAAAGAAATACTTTGTATTACAAACTAGCGGCTCACCCTCGCTTCGCTCGGGTTCGCCTTTAGAATAACTAAAACAAATTTATCCCACGGGAACCGTATATTTTTCCGGGATAAAAAGTAGCCTATGTGTTATTTTGATCTATGCATATATAAGCTATATTATTGCAATGTTTCATTAAAATCCATTAAGTAGTTTTTGAATGAAAAAGTAACAAACATCCATACATTCATACTCACAAACTTTCTCATTTATAATATTAGTATAGATAATATACTTTACTATATACAAGTAACGTACAGCTTAAAATGTATGTAAGCATCTATTTTACTGATTTAAAGGAAATTTAGCCATATACATATGTTTTTAATTCAGAGATGTTCGTTAGATTTTATTAGATTAGACATCTCTTGCGAACGGCTATTAAGGTATTTTAAGAAAAAAATAGAAAGTTGAACGGAAAATTGGGAAATTTCGGAGAAACTGATAGAGCTTTTGTCTATACAAATTTGACCTAAAAGATAATAAATACATATAGTTATTGAAACAGAACAATGTATATTTTAGATGTACTTTCCATATATATTTATATATAGAGAAAAATTAAACGTTATGTTAGTACATCTAAAGAAGATGAGATAGGAAAATAATTGACTTGACTCATCCAATCGATCCACTTGTCACATAGAGCATTCTCACGCGATATATGTAATATCGTTTAGATAGATTGCACATATTGTTTAGAGAATTCAATCATCTCTCTTATTGGCCAAACTAAATAATCATAAATGCTCGAAGCGCAATATAAATAAAATAATTATCGAAACGTTCAACTTAAAAGTAACTTTTTAAATTAAATATTCAGTTTTTAGGATGAATAGTATATGAAAGCATATTTAATTAAATTTTGTGATTTTCATCTTATTTCAAATTTTATTTCTACCCGCGATATCTCATTTAAAGTAAGTCCAGAAGTTACGTTTTTTAAGAGTTTTCAGAGCTTAGATTTTTTGGCTTTAAATATAAGGGTTAATATATTAAATATATTTGGGTACCTATCTCAAGATTCTATCGACGTCGATGTGAGTCTTATTCCAAATTAAATAAACAAGATACCTATAAATGTGTAATGGACTTGTCACGTATCGCTAAATAAACGAGTCAATACACAGTAAATTCTGTCACGATTTTCATTTTTCATTACTTTATAAACATCTGCTACTTAAGTTTGTGCTGATTTAATGATAATTGATTGAACTTTATGGTTCTGAACATCCAATGAAAAAATCGGAAGTCTTATCACTCGTATATCTGTAGACGTATTCTGTTATAGGTTATTTCCTAGGAATCAGGGGAAAACGACGTATCGTATATCCATATTAATTTTGATTTCAACGGTTAAATGGGTTTCCAAAATTTTAAAATAAAGAATTTCAGTCAAATACAAAAATCTTAATGTGCCATAAACAAGGATATGTTAGGAGGATACAAATTTGCATACACATATTATATACTTTACACATACTTCTTACTAATATTATAAATGTGAAAGTTTAGATGTTTGGATGTATGTTTGTTACTCAATCACGCCGAAACGGCTGCACATCTGGGTGAAATTTGGCACAGAGATAGATTATAGTCTGGAATACTTATTAATGCGGAAAAATGTACGGTTCCCGTGGGATAGATTTGTTTTTGTTTTATATTTTCAAAACATTAAAGAAAATATTGGCAATTGGCATTTCACTTTGAAACTGCTCAGGGTTTTATATAATTTAGAAAAACTAATGGAAATCGTTTTATTTGTAAAACCTTAAGCTTGGAAAATGTGTTATTATTATAAAAATATTATTGCAGTATTCAATTTATCTAAACCGGTTTATTATTCAGGTAAAAAATTTCATTGAAATATTATTATGAGAAAATAGATTAAAATATTTTCATAAGCCATGCCATAAGGAATCAGTAATGTGAATGATAAACATTTATTAAGGCAGTGCGTGCTCGCTAATGTACCGGATAAATAGAACTTGTAAACATAATATCCGTGACCAAATCTATAAATATAATAAAACAATAATGGCCACTGGTTATATAAGCTTTTAAAACATTTTCTATATAGCTAATTATTTATTTCTATACTTAAGCATGTATATTGAATACACATCTACTCGATGGGATGTGTATCGATGCTATATTTTACTGTAATACCCGCGGCTTCGCCCGCGTTCAATCAACAAAAAAAAAACTCTTTGGCTTTATGTTACACAGCGACTCACCCTCGCTTCGCTTGGGTTCGTCGCTATGTATTTGTATAATATTGTTCATACAAAAATACTAAAATGGCGATTAAAAAATGGGAGGCGGGGGTAGGGGGGTGAAAAATATTTTACGGCCTAGTCTCATACGGAATACCTACCAAATATACAAAAAAAATCTTTTAAATCGGTCGAGCCGTTTCGGAGGAGTTCGACCACAAACACCGTGACAAGAGATATTTATATATTAGATAAAATGAAATGTACATACATATATAAAAATATACAATAATAATATCTTCATATTATTTCCCTTGCGGAACAGCTATAGATGGTAAAGTACCAACTCTAGTTCTCTACCATCTCTACATATGTAAAAATTAGATTATTTTTCACACACATTCATCAGGGCTTTTCAGAATTTTGATCTGGGCTTTCTATAATAACTATACTTAGTCTTTAAAGGCTCTTCAAAGTTTTCCCCAACTTTGGCTTCCACTCTTAGATTGCATATACATATTTTAGACTAATCGTCAATTGAATAGAAACGAATATACGACATTAAACCATAAATAATATTATATTATATTTTTCTTACTATACACATAACGCATAAATTGTGTGTATAGTAAGTAAAACATTTCTAGCATTCCATCTACAAATAGACGCCATAATGAATCTCATAACCCAAACTTCAAGAGTAAACAAACAGTAAATTCTGATTGAAGTGAACTTTCATAATTTATCTTTGCAGCAATAAGTAAATCTTTCATCTCTTTAAGGTGGGTTTTCTTCATCAATCATAATATAAAAAATGAGATACATTTTTTATGTACAAATATATTTTTTGTACTAAAATATAACTCTGAAATCAATTGTATGTATTTATTAATAGCGTGTTTGCCTGAATTTTTAATTTTGTAAAATAATTCCGCCCTTTTAGTTCGATAAATGTAAAATAGCCCTAATAAAGAGGTTATAAAAATGTAGACAAAATTTTTCAAATCGAGTAATTTTCACCCCCTTAAAATTATCCTATGTCCTTTCCCGGGCCTCAAACTATCTTCTTACCAAATTTTATCTAAATCGCTTACGTAGTTTCGGAGCCTATTCGATACAAACAAACAATTTTTTCCTCTTTATAATATTTATTAGATCAGATTAGTATAGATTTATAAATAAATAAACAATAGACAAATCGTATAAGATCGCTTACGTTACAAATAGAAAATCGCTCGTATTTTTATTTACATAATATATGTATACTGGTGACTCATCCACGCTTCGCTCGGGTTCGTCCCTAGGTACGTTTTAAATTAAAATGGATATAGTATGTTATCCTTAAGAGATAGACGTATGCCATCGCGGACCTTTCTATAGACCTATATAAGATACAGAATTCCACCATACATTATTTTGTTATATCTTAAAGG